CAGCTTGCTTCGAGGTCTACCCACTATTCTTCAATCAGAGCCAATCACAGTTCGGCGAACTGACGTCACCCCGTCCCCTGCGAAATAAGCAGACGAACAATTGCGCTCCGTGCATATTTTTTTGGAGGTTAAGAAACGCCGGACAAGGCCTTCCAACAAAGCTCCCTGGTCACCATTATTAGTGGTTTCCCTCTTCTCCAGCGTTGGCCCTGCTAAAGTGGAAAGGGTGAAGGGGTTCGTGTGAAGAGCTCGTCCTGCTATTCTTTGACTGGAGCAGGGTATTATAGTGCTTTATGAAAGGCCACGCAACTTGAACGGTTTATGTGAATTCCTCCTCTATTTGCCCGATCATGGCTCGAAAACTTTACGAATAGCGTCGGACCTAAGTGAATAGGCTTAGCCAACTGCCATTTAGTTATTTAGTTGTTTGTATGGGCTACTGCTAGCTTTCGATGGCTGCTGTAATAAGTTCCTTTTTTTCTGTTGTATTTTGCGAGGGAAACTATTTACCCAAAGATTGTCGCAAACAAATTGGGGTGATTTGTAAGGCCCAAAGAAACAAACAACATGCTTTTAATTAGTTGAAGTTGAAATTATTGAAATTCTGTGTAGCGATTAATTTGAGGTAGTACGTACAGCGCACCTGAGTCACTGCAGATAATTAGTATGGCGGTAATCTGTACATACGCAAATGAGTGAAATGGGCAGTTTTTCGGATGATGATTTCGAAGTGTGACGATTTTCCATTTATATTAAGTAATTCTTAATCTGGTGGAGGCATTGCTTGCGTATGTGTAATCACTTAAGTTGTAACCTGAAGCAAACCCGAAAAGTCGGAATTCTAGTTTTTCTCATGACTTGCCAGTGTATTTTGATTCCCTTAAGTGCGAGTATAATTCGCAATCGACGTTGTTATTATGTATTTATGGTGTTCTGTATAACGTGAGGCACGTCCATCAAGTATGTCGTGCAAGGCTGTCATGATCGCCATGATCAACCTTACGAAGTGCTCACTCCATTTGCTAAAACTTATTCAAATTTTCGCCGTTCGTACAGGCTACGGCCGCCTGGAATGAGTTGGCAAGCGAAATCGCTTTGGCGACAAATCATGACGCTTTCATAGCACTCTTAAGAGAGTACGATAATTCACAATTTGTTCTATATATATATTATATTTTCTTCTTTTAAGCTGCCTGTGGTACACTTTGATTGCATATGCCTCAACCTCTGAAACATATATGCATGTGGGACATCGTATCTGACATTCTTTAATTTTTTTTTTATATTTAGGGTGCCCCTGTATGTGCGCTTTTGTTTTTGTCTTGTATTTTGTTATTCGAAAAGTTAATTGTACTGATGGTATATTAGCGGCCCTTTTTTATGATGCATTTCTCCTTTAAAGCCTTTAGAAGTATCCAAAAGAAAGAAAAAAGAAGCAGTGCTTTCACTTGTTATGTTGTTGCATATTATCACATATATTACATAACTTCATTAGGTATTTCGTAGAAGTTCGTCTCGTGATATAATACCTGTTGTCTTTTCCTGGCATAGCTTGCGACGCCGACCTTGTATGACAGGTGAACATCAGCGTCCCTGAATTTGAGTACTCCATGTCTAAGATTCAGTAACATCGCTCAAGCAAACGGAGATAAGGGAGTTCAATCTCAACACCTGGGCATACGGAGCGACGTCCTATTACTGTATTCCAGTTAACAACTTTAAGCTGCAACAAAGTCGCGGTAATCAGCAAGGCACATCTATGATGCATTGATTTGAAAAGACCAAAAAAAAAAATTGTACAACGGATGAGTCGTCTCCGCCTACACGTTCGTAGGAAGCGAGGCGAGACTCGTTGAGGTCCGCGGGAGGCATTCGCTCACCGGAAGTGTGGGGAGTGGCCGGAAGTCTCGTTTTCGTACGCTTCGCTGATACGCGAGTCGAATGCGAGTGTGCCGCCACAGCCTCCCCTAAAGACGCTTACAAGAACGGCTTCTGGACGCAGCCATCCTGCTGCTGGCATTGTTTCAATCGTCTGATAGTCAAGCCTCACTAGGGCGATCCCAGAATTGCCAGACTGGCACCCAAAAGAAGCGCCTTCCATTCACTGTGGCCTGACTATAGCTTTTAAAGCGTGGCTGCTTGCAAACGTCCATGCTATAGTCGGTTACAAGTCAAGAAGGTAGGAGAAGCTCCTCCCACAAGTGTGATGCGCCCGTTTCCAATCTCTCCGCAGTCGAAAGAAGAGTTCACTGGAAACGCTTTTTGTTCCGCTTCAATGGATTCCCACTTGTCTGTGAAAGCAGCCTTTGTATTCATCGGTGGGAAGCTAATCCCCGAAAGTCGTATTTGTTTCCGTCGGTGGGGGAGAACTCTAATCTCCCTCTCGTGGCTTCCACAATGCTAAGTCAAAGTCGAAAGCTAAAGCAAATATGTACAGAAAGGCAAGACCCTCCTCGCGCGTTGGCCGCGACGTCACGGAAACGGTGGGACGCTATTGGATGTGGAGGTGGCGGAGGGATATCTGATTTCCTTTGAGGGGCATTTGCCGCTACCTTCTTAACCTGTAACTCCTCTGGACGCCGCCATCTTGCTGCTGGCGTTCTTTAGATCGTCTGATAATCAAGTCTTTATAAGACGCGCTTACAGTTGACTGGCGCCCAAAGTAGGCGTTTTTTATCCATAATGACTCCACTAGCTTTTGAAGCATGGCTGCCTGCAAAAGGCTATAGAGGAGCCTACAATACGGCTTGCCCTTCCTCGACTTTTAAGTCCTGGTTCCGTCACAGGTTTTACCAATCGGAGCAACGAAAGTAAAAGGTGAAAGAATACCTATTTGTATTCAGAAGCTTCCCACTCGGTGCATCCAAGTTGCCCTTTCAGCTAGCTGTTGAGATTATTTAAGAAACCTGTTATTACATACAATTATTGGAGAGGGACAGATTTTGCCTGCAGAAGTCCTCCGGCACATGATGTGCGATGGTGCAGATTCTTAACACAACCTACATAGAAATGAGTAGTGCTAAATTGTCAACGTCACCGACCGTGGGCCAACGCGGGCATATATTGGACAAAAGTACTACTTCAGCGTTGAGCCAGTTCTTTTGCGCTTTCAATGGGAACACAACTCCAGCCTAACGCTAACAGAGCACTCGTGTCCATTAATATCATGTACGAATGCTGGCCCTCAGTATAGGGGATGTAGAACTTTCTGCCTTACGATCTTCTTTCTAAGAGCTGTTGGCTTGATGCGGTACAAGGAAGCCGTAGCTCAAAAAGGTCAAAGCACCTGGGGGGCCTCCTAGTCTAAGAAATTTCCTGTATTTGGGTTATACCTAGTGCTCCGTGTTTTCGAATAAATCCGAAGAACTCCGAAAAGCACCCGCCAGTAAAATTTCACATTTCACCCCCCCCCCCCCCCCCAACCAAAAAAAAAAGGAAAAAGCATTTTTTTTTTATTTGGGCAGCGCAGGATCAATGGTCCTGGGAAAATGACACCATAATTATCTTTCAAACCTCGGACCGTTGTCAAAAGGGGGTCTTACGGCTTGTCTCGTCAAGGCTGGTTCAGGGAAACAGGTCATCGTACCATCAACACCGAATCTTTGCTAAAAAATAAACTCCGAAAACACCCTCCGAATTTCACGAAAAATAAACTCCGAAAACACGGAGCCCTACTTATACCTGACAAAATCGTCGCACTTAGAATACGTACTAGGTCGCGTGCTTCGTGCCCCTATGGGTTGAGTGGTTTGTGTACTATGGGTCACATGGCTTGTCACTATAGCTCATGTGATCATGTGACAACAGGACGGGACGTCACCGTGTCACGTGACGTTACGACTCGTCAAATTTACCAGGTGAGCCTGCGTTTTGTTGTTACACTTTCACGTGGGGCTGGCCAAAAGTGTATACTACGTTAACATAACAATATACAGTAAATAATACGTTATAATATAATATAATAACACTGTAGACTCGGTTGTCAGACCAGGCATATACAACTAAAGCTCTGGAAGAAACCCACGAAGCTTGCTCTGGCCACGGCACACCACCAAGCGAGTTCTCAAGGCTGACTTTGCGGCAATCGGACGGAATCATACAATTGACATTGCCACAAACGGACATTGAACCTACGTGCCGTGAAAGTGAAAAGAGTTACGCATAAAATTTGGCAACCGTACATATCTAGCTCCTCAACGGGGGCCAGGGGAAACGTTGTTGCGTGTGTATATGTGACAGTTCTCTAATATATTAACAGCGATAAAAAAACAGAAGACATAAGAACAAAATGTGAAGGCAGAGCTCTGTGTACATATCCGTCTTGTCCATTATGTGTGTGTGTTTTTTTCTTTTTTTGCGGTGTTACTTTATCAGAACTGCGCACCAACTAGCCCGACTTCCAACTGTCTCAGTACGGGACCAGGAAAGGCGCATCAGCCTGTTGCCACCTACTCTCGGGGAGTAGATGCAACACTGCTAAGCCGTCCACTGAAGACCCACATGAATGCTATCTCGTCTGCCGGTGAAGTATATAGCCTCTATATAGTGCACGGCGTCATATTTTCTCATGTCATAACACATTATATAAATATATATAGAAGCTAGCTGAGCTTCTATGAAGATGAGAGCTTTGCCGTCTCTTTAATATAGATCAAAAGGCGGCAGAACGAATGCTCATCTTTCTAAAAAAATTTAAAAAAAAAAGAATTACAGCGGGCTTGACGCTTCCTCGATGCTCCCTCACGCTAACGTCGTTTCGTCACGGGCTTTTATTCAATTTAAGGCGAACCGGACGCAAAGCGATTCTGCGCTTTCCTCTGATTTGGTTGTCCCCTTCACTTACCCCTGGCGATTGCATTTCCTTGACGCGGTTCCGGGAAGGCGCGCCTCTTGTAACCTGGGCATTTCTCGTTTCCCATCTTATAAAAGCTTCACCTATCGCGCACGGGAGTAGTCGGTGGAAGTACAAAAAGAAGAAAAAAGAAAACGCTATAAGCACACATCCTTCTGTTTTATTTACTGTGCGCTGTATAAAGTACACACTCCTGAGTGGGGACTGCAACATACAGCACAGAAAAAAAAAGGAGAAACTCATTGTCAGTTATAATGTCGCATGTGTGTGCCGGAAGAGTAGGTGCACACAAAATAAAAGAAGAAAAATACACAAAAATGTAATGACATCTGATGGGCGCGAAAGCGGGGTTGAAGTGTATCTAAAATAGAATCGCAGGGCGATTATCTAAAGGCAGTAGAAAATACTATTTTTTTTTTCTTTTTGTGTATGATAGTTTCGTTTTCTGTATATATAAAGAAAACTTCACCTTGCATGACTCCAGTCTTTTTAATGTTTGCTGTTAGTATATGTGTGGAGCTTGAAGGCAGTCCCGCTTTGTTTCAACGGAAATGGCAGAGTTTATTGCAACGAATGTTACCTCCTGCATGCGTGCATTTCTTAAATTCATTAAATAAATCTCTGTTGTTTCTCCTTTAAATGTGCAGGTCCAAAGATATACCTTCAAAGAATCGTAGGTAAAAGGCACCTCAACAGGTGTCAGCTTGAGTAGCAACGAGAGTGTTGTCACTCTTTTTAGGGTTTTTGAATCCGCTAAAGGTTTTGGAGGTTCAAATTCCAACCCGTATTGCTCCCTGTTCTCCAATATGTCACTGATGTTTCTACGTGGCACAGCTTTTTTTTGCACTTTAAAGAAACATCTTCTGGCAAAGCTTAAAATAAAAATAATGAAAAACGTGTTAGGCATCTGAGCGTATGACAAATCTTTAATTTGTATTCGACGTCAATTTTGGGAACGTTGGCGAAATGCTGAAGAAATGTCCGAGGTTGGTGAAGGCGAGTCACAAGGAATGTAATATATACAAAACATATAAAATAGGGCTCAAGATTTAAAGAGATGAGATATACCGACTTCTCTAGATGTTATGCACATAACAGTCTTGCAGAGTTTTGTTTCAGTTTATTATTCATCAAAAGAAATGACATGATCATAGTGCTCGAAGCAAGAGATTCAAGACTGGGTTCAGTGGTTGATGTTAGTGAATACATAACTTGATCAAGCCTAAACATTCGGGAAGCTTCTCCTTTGGGTTTTCAGCTTCTGACCCCATGTTCCACCTAACTTATTAAAGAAACAATTTATTTGATAAATTATATCACAACAATGTCGTAAAACCTTCAAAAGTTACGCGAGATCGATTGTCAGCTTGACAAACTCTTCACCCTCTTCATAGAAAGTAAAAATTGTATTTCCTTATCTGCTCAACGTCAAATATCTAAACCACAAAACGAAGGTAATTCACAGCCTTTATCCTAAGAAAATGACTACCAGTAATGGGTAAACAATGAGAAGTCATTAATTCTGATTATCGACATGAACTGAAACTAAAAGGCAACATGGTTAGAGAAAAAGTGAAAATAATGTATTTGGCTAAAACAAACTACGCGAATACGACCAAAACTACAATTAGGGTAGTGTAGGTAATGCGCATCGCAAAACATTAGATATGCCTGAACACAAACTGTGCTTTCGGGGAACAACGCAAATAGTTTAAAGTTACACATTCATCTTTTTAATCGTTGACTAATAGATGCGTTTAAGTATTCAGTCACCTACGCATACTTCTAGACAAAACATTACGCCAATCAGGGATGGTGAGTACTTGAAATACACAATATTCAAAAAACTTCGAGTATTTTGTATTTAATTACATAATGAAAATATATTTTCCAGCTGTATCTGAATACTAAAATTGAGCATTTTAATAAATTGTATTGAAATACTACCCAAATGCAATTTGGCACTGTTCTTCGTAATCAAAAGGTGTTTTAGAAACTCTTCGCAATGACACTCATATGCAACGCTCATAAAACAGGCTGTAAGTTGCGTAAAAGAACATTAAATGGAAACTGACGCGGTTCTGTATTTGAGACAAAATACCAAAATCGTGTTCATTTGGCCTTCATCATCACAAATATCAAGACTCTTTTCCAATTTGGTGCAAGGAGGCTGCAGAAATCAAATTTTAAACTACCGCTGAAGCCCCTCCTTCCCGGGGCGTGACGTCAAACTAGGAGTTTTCAGAATCCCTGCTGTCGCGCATCTTCAGCGCCTGTCAAAGCTAAGCACGTGCACTCTTGCTCTTTTCAAAAAAATCTGAAATAGACGTCATGACTAGCGTCAGTGCGGAAAAATACAGCTGGCAAGCTTGGGACAGCAGGTGCTGCCCACACGAGCGACGCAGACCTGGCGGCCCAAAGATCCTAGCATGAGGTCACGACTGGTCGGATGATTTTTGCGTTTTCTCGCGTTTAGTTACATATTTGGGGAACACGAACGTGATATTCAGATTAACGGCATAAAAATACGGCAGAAGAGAACGAGAGAAGAACAAGGAATGAACGAGAGGACTAGAAGGTTTTATTTTTAGTTTGGTTGGTTGATTTTATATTTTGAAACGTCGCATTTTGTTCCGAGGTGTTTTGTTGCTTCAAAATAACATCTGGAGTTAAACTCGCACTGAATTAATTGTTTTTTCTTAATGATTTATATTATGAGAAACATTTTATTTGAAAGCTGCAACTTTATTTAAAGGCACATGATTAGTGATACATGTAGATGCCTCTCCGTACTTTTGGCGTGATTTTTTTTAATAGGCGTTAAATTTAAGTTCAAGATGTCAGACCATGGGAAAAAAATTTATATGATAGAGTATTTGAAGATGATCAAATACCCCTTGTTGTATTTGTATCTTGCATTTAAATTGTCTTCTAAAAAAGTGTAATTGAATTTGTAATTAATTACATTTTTTTCATGTATTTTGTATTTGTATATCAATACATTTTGATAAGTATTTTGACCATACGTGACGTCAGTTAATAACAAAATCAATGAAGGACTATGCACAAATCTTGATGGAAAGGACAAAATGAGAGGGAATATTTACAAAGTCTCATTAAGAATGTGTGTCATGTGTTGCTCCTCTTCAGAGCATTCAATGACGCAGCAAAACGACGTGTGTGCCTCTTCGATCGTGTAAAACAATCTATAGGTCATAATAACTCTAATTAGCATAGGTAACGAATCGTACAAATTCGCAGAGTTACAGCTCATACCCTCTGAAGAGCAAGCTTACGCTATTAAACGAAGTGAGCTCCTCGATGAAAGTTATTCAGGTCGGAGCATTAACTCAAATTTTTAAAGACAGGGTAGTCATTTTGATAAATGCAAAATGCGGTACGGCATAAACAAAGACGGTAATACAGAAAATTCGCCTCATTAAGTTTTTTCTAAAAAGCCAAGACCACCACAAGCATGCGAAGATAGGATCACTTTGGAGACAAAATAGGGCAAAAGGAACTTATCAAGATGCCGTTTTGCTTTTCAGCGTTTGATTTTGATTCCTCAAGACCTATCGTTGATGTAGGAAAATAAATAGTTTCTAAGCATATCTCTGTATACTTGTGGAGTCATTCGAGTGACAAAGAGCATGTTGAACGTAGCGTCGTATTTTCTCAGGGTATGTACTTTAGCGATAGTTGCTTTGGTATTGTTTTTGATGGTTGTTGCACTTTTTTGTGTGTGTAAACAGAAAAACATGTAGAAAAACATTTTCTGGGAACGCTACATAGTAAAGGGCAGGTTTTATTTTAAGGGGCATTATGAGGGAAAGAATTGAACGTTTTCTTTCGTAACCTATCAAACATTTGCAACTCCTTTCACTTCCGTAGTCTGCGTTGACCAGACTGACTACTATTTCGACCTGACGCTATTTGGGCAGAAGGTAAGATCGGAAAGGGCGTGAGGACGGAACCACACAAGGTCCAACGACGGCTAAGTGTCCGGCGACTTCTCCGATGTCTTCGATGGGAACAACAAATATTAAGAACTTGAAGCGAGTTAAAAAAAGTTTTTTTTTTTTTTTTTTTAGGTTGGCACGCGATTCCACTGCGGTGCACACATCCAGTGTCCGTAACGTCGCAACGTTTACGTCATCATGCTGCCTAAACCGGTGTCTCAGTGAATGATCCTCGGCGTTCTTTTGAAGCTTTGGGTGTGCTGGGTGTGGGAGGCCTGGAGTCCGACGATTCAGCAACGGCTGGTCCTTTGCTTGCACTTGCTCTGGAGGTGAACCGTCCAAGAAGAGATTTTTTGCTGCCCTTGTCTCCTTTGGAAGACAACGAACTCGATTGCTGAAAAGAATCAGAGAACCCAAAATTTTCATTTTTTTTGTTGTTCCATTTCGGTTGCTCAAAAAAACACAAATTCTATAATGTTCCCATAATTCCCAACTTTCGGGTCAGTGGTGCTTTATGAACAAAGATGTGGGACAGAACGGAAACATTATATTAATTTTTGTGCTTGCTGTACTTGTCGAAGAAGATAGGGATCAGCATGTCAGTAGTTAGCTAGCTGTAACTTGCAAACGAATTCTAAAAGACGTATTTGTAAGAGGAAGGTAACCAGTACCTTTTTGTGAGTTGGTAACGAGTAATCTGCTTCGTTACTACCTGTGCGAGCATCAGGTGACGGTATTTAGTTACTTTAGGTTTTCTAGTAGCACGCCAGCTCAACTTTTTTCTAGAGACGCCATTTCAACAAGATAATGGGACGTTCCTCCTAATCCACGTGCATATGCCCGCCGCTGCTTACCGCGCTTTCACATAGAAAAAGGTCTATCCTGAGCCGAAACACCCAGTAATCGCTTTGCAGCACCTGTAGTTCTTTAGATGTCGATGTACATACATGTTGTATGTTTTTAAAGAAGCGCTGTTACACCAAAAGTAGTATTTTTTTGGTGTCTAATGCGATGAGGTTGTAGTGATTGACGCGCAAAAAAATACCATAAAAAATTCTTCATGCCCGCGCTCGCCTCTTTTTTCGCGTTTTTCTCTCCCTCTTTTCACCTCCTCGATTATTTTTATTTGTGACGTAATCGATTATAAAATTGAGAAACTTTGGAAGCGTCATTTCTTTAATATCTAATCACGGAATTCGTGAAACATGTTTTTTGACGCAATTGCGAACGCACTACGTTTCGGGGATTATTTTGAAATGTCGAAAACCGGAATCCGGAAATGATGTCGTCTCCTGGCTTTTTATCCTCCCTCGGAAAACATGGCGGCGCTGGGCACATCATGCAGCACTAAGGATGATCGGGGAGTCGAAGAATCGGACGAAGTTCTCTTTTCGGTACCCGACGACCTCTCAGACTTCGAAAAAGAAATCGTCCAACGGTCACAAAAACTAGATTTGGTGCCTGTGCAGCACCAAATGAGGCTCCGACGGGGCAGGCTTTCACGCAGCACCGGTGCCACATGGCCTCTCATGTCGTTCACAAAAGTTCCGTGCGCGTCCTCTTCGATCTCACACCATTTCAAAGAATTTGAGCTCGATGAAAGAGCCCTAAAAAAACCCTCAAACCCGCAAGTAAAGCGTCGACTGCTCACAGCGATAGACGGTACGCACGGAGAAGCGCGGTTGATGGCGGGACGCGGGAGAGCACGACATTTCTGGTTGGGCCGCTTCGGTGGCGGGAGAAAAACTCGAATAGACTTCTTCCAAAACCGACGCGCCCCATCGCGGCGAAATTCCACGCTGTGCACTCTGGTAACTAGTTGGCCACTCAGTTTCGGTTTCGACTGAGCAGCTTTCATCTCATGCTATCACGCCGCGACCGAACGCGCTGTTTTCGACTATCTGACTTTTCACGAATGTACAATACACTCATTCTCGAGCGAGACAAAAACGAAGACCGGGGCACTTTCCTTGGTTCCCGAAACACCGAATATTGTGCGTGCGTATGCAAACGTAGTAATACGTGGCTTAGTCACCTCACCCCACGAGTGCATCTTTGAGCTCGTGTCAGTAATCCCGTCTAGTTCCAGTGAACTACAACTGAAATTTGGTCACCTTGAGTCCTACACGCATCTTGTTTGCCAAACGTCCGCTTCTTGTTACTTCATTGGGCGAAAAGCAAGCCGCATCCTCACAGGAGAATCAAAGTTAAGCCAGCGTTGGCGCATTAACTTTTAAGGAAACGCAATAAATTCGACCTCACTACTGCACAAAAGTTACTATGATGTCTTCCTCGTGTCATCACATATCTCACACTCAAAATATTATGCTAATATAAGATTAAGTTTTCGCAAACGCTGAGATCGGCTAGCTACGACGGAGGTCCTAACAAGCGTCCCCTACTCCTCGCTAAGCAATTTGGACGACCTTTTACTAACACCCAAGATCTGTGCCTGAACGGTGTGTCTGAAATTATCTCGGCATACTCAGTGAGGAAGAAAGCAAACACATAACAAATATTATGGCCATTAGCAACCGTCAAATGCGCTTTGAATAATTTCGTTCGTTTGGCGCATCGGGGTTTATCGTTCATGCCCACCGGCGCACTTTCACCGAATGGTGCGACATTCTTCACACAAGTGCTCGACTTTTGCTTTCTTAAAACGGTTTGTATGTGCGAATGTGCCTATATGATTGCAGGATAACTTTATGCGTTTACACGATGTTAAATATTAGTGAAATGCAAGCGTTTCGTGCAAATGCAAGCGTTTCACGAATTCGTGCAGTGCTGCGCGGGGCAGTACAGAAAGCGATGAGAAGTGTGTTCGAATGGAACTTTTCAATGGCGCCTCCGAGTTTTACCTCGCGTATTCAGGCGTATTAAGAAAAACAGTAATCGCAAAAAGTTATATTTCGTCTATGGACGCACGAAACAAACAAACTTCCTGATAAACAACACTAATGTCAAGGCGCGAGCTCGATGTGTGCTTACTTACTGGTGTCTACAGCTCGTTGATTCGTACACAAGCAAGATCCCCGAGCTTCGCGGCGTAGAGATTCCCAGCACTGGCTCGTCCACATACCTCCAAACGCTAACAGAAAGGCTCGAGTACACAAATACAATAAGCATGCATTAAGACAAGCTATACGTCTCGGGCTTGTGCTAAAGCTTCGAGGTCTGGCCATTTAGGTTAGTTTAGAGACCACAAATGACGCTAACGGGACCAGAAAACATAAAATAACGGCCGTTTATAGTCCACGCTCTGTGTATAATCTCTTGTCGACGTGTCGATCGAAACCGAAACCATGGGGCACTCTCCTCCCTGGCCAACTAGTTCCCAGAGTGCAACGCGCGCCGTGTTGCATGCAGGGCTTTATGGAAGTAGTCCATTACAGGACGACTCAATCTTTGACGTCACCGCACTGGCGCGGAGCGCGCGGAAATTTCAAATTCGGCTATTTTAAATTGTTTTTTACTTCCCAAATACTGAGTTCCCAAGTTTCGAATCCCGAGGGTAATGTCCAGGCATCGTTTTCGATCTTTTCGGATTAAAAAAAAAAAAAAAAAAAAGATTTTAACCTGTCAATCAGTAAAAAAAAACGTGAAAGCTACACTTATGCGGTTTGTGCAGGAGAGATATACGGCCAGAGGGACAAAGTATAAGGGGGCTAATCGTAATGATCAGTCGGCTACCTAAGTAAAAGTTAGTAAAAAAAATGTCGTCGCCGGAGCATAACAGATCCTTAGGAGACGGAAAAATTGAGTGGGCACGTTATCGCGCCGGTAGCCTTGCTCTTGTTGCACGGGTGGTAACTTCAACGCACTGCCGCGCTTCTCGTGCACTCAAAGTGCTTCAAAAATGACCGATCTAGTAGCTTTCGATGAAAAACAGTGTCACGAATCGGCGAGGTTTCTTTCTTTTTTTATGTTCTGTGTGGGTGGTATGTCGGGGCATGCCGGGTATCCCGAAAAGAATCGACCGGGGACTGGCTCGTTATCGCCACCCCGCCTTGTGTACGCGACATACCGAGAACCGAAGGCTTTCTGTGTATGTATTCTGTTGGGCCATGCCGAATGCACGGAAGGGAAGCTTGCCGCGCCCTTGTTTTCTTTACGTTAAAACCGCTTTGTGTAAACCTCGCACCCTGAACCAAAGGTTTGCTTTTGTTTGTGTTGGGCTTGTGGTCGGACCCCTCCCCTGCTCACGTTTACACCAGGCGTGGCCTGTCAACCGGTCGAGCATTCCTTTTTTTTCTTTTTTTTTTTGTGCGCACGAGCTGCTGCCTTTGTCTTTTTAACGTTGTTTTCAACTAATCGACATACTGGCCCAAGCACATTTGTGACACTCAGCAAGTATCTAATTGGAACCTTATGTCAATTTTCACTACTTAAAAAGTTCATTAACAAAATGTACTTAATTAGCCGATTGATCGTTACGATTATCCCCTTATACTACGTCCCCTCGGCCATATAACTCACCTGCACAAACCGCATAAGTGTAGCTTTCACGGCTCTTTTTTTTTTTTAAATTTAACACATCTGTTAAACGTCAAAAAGCAAGACGAAAAACGCCCTGTATAGCAGTGAACGGCATCTGCATTGCTCTCCATTCTTTCCAGCAACGAGAACGGCATTGATGCCGTACTTGCCGTGCCAATTAGTGCACGTTCCTTGACGTTGCTGTTCCTTAACATTCACTGTACGTTCAACGTTCCTTAACGTTCACTGTACCTCTGGCCTTGACCGTTCTTTGACGGGTTCCAGTGGTGTCCTCGGTGCCAGAACGGGCCTCTTGTCAGCCGAGGTGGCCGGAGGAGAATCGATCTTCTCCTTACTGCTGGAGCGAAACGCCTTGGAAAGTCGGGATTTGAGCGTACCCGTCTTCTCCTCTCGGTCTGCAACAGAAACCATTTTTTTTCCCGAATGTTAAGGTATGAAGAAAACTCAAAAGTATCGTCTAGTTATAGCTCAACAACATGCATGCTTAACTAAGAAGAAAAAAGAAAAAGAAGCAGACAAGGTGAGCAGAAACATTCCGAAGGCGTTTGAGTTACGTACAGGGTGCAGAAATATGTGTTGTTCCGGGGGCGTTCAGCCCGGGGTGACAGAAACACGAGTGAAATAAAATATCGAAATATTTCAGTAAAAAGAACCCAAACGTTTATTTTCCACCCTTAATATAGGTAGAAATTTATCAGAAACCATTATTGTAATAGCAACTTTAGCTGTGATAAGTTTTCAAACTTGTGGGAAATTTGTAAGTGGGAGTTGTGGCAAAGGCGGCACAGATGTGCTGTGAGCATCCCCAGGACATCTATGGAACGTTAGGTCATCCTGAAGACCTCCTTGGGATCATCTGTACTGCCAGGGGTGCGTGTTAGCAATCGCAACTGAAGGATAACGATGAAAAATATTTGCATAAAGAGACTTGAAAAGAAACGTACCCGAATCGTGTTTAGCATCATGAGTGACTGGTTTCTTGAGTGCTTTAAGTCTGTCCTTGAACGTCTTTTTTTGCTTCGCTGCTCGGGTCAGGTCCTCGCTGCTTCCTGGGTTGCTGGAGTCATTCTCAGAGTCTATACGCTGAAACAATAATGCAACATTTCAAGATGACTTTTGTAGCTACTGAAAGCAAATGTAATATTTTTCTTCTGCTCAAATGTTTCGATAGCTGCGGATTAAAATAAACTTCCTTTTACGTCCTCTTGCCTGTCGTACTGAACCTCAGCAAATAACTAAATAAAAAATACAGTAGCAGCAAAAATTAGTTAACCATGAAACGATGATATTGCGTTAGGTTTAACTAGTGGTCAGAATAACCACCTCGCGCGTATACCACGCAGCAGGAACCAGTATTGCTTACTCGTGCATTTGTTAGCGCTTACTCCATATCAAAGCTACGCAACATTATGATTTAATGGCCTCCGAAACCCTGAGATTATAATAATATTGATATTATAATCTACCATGACCATAGGATTAAGTACAGTAATGTAAGGTCTTGATACGCTCTCTATCGACTCCGTGTCCACGACACTAGGCCTCCTAAAAAACGCCTACGCGTGCAGCACAGGTTCAGATCGTTCAAGCTGAGGCGGTTTGACTACATTGCGGTCTCTCATTTGCGTTTGAGTTTGATAGTTTACGTTTCAGTTCATGGGCGTACCAACCGGGGGGCGGGGGGGGGGGGGGAGGGGGCAAGGGGGACGCTTGCCCCCCCAGTTTTCTGAGTGGGGGTGGCAAGGCATGTGTTTTGCCCCCCCCCCCCTTCCTCCCCCTGAAACAGCCACCACTGGGCAGGGCAAACACTGGCCGGCGGCGCCCAAGGAACACCAAGGGCACCGACTCCCGACCCGCGGGGGCATATTTTTAACGCGCAGGCGATACAAATTCTAGCAACGGCGCTCACGCCGGATTGGCTGGTTCGTGCAGATAGGCGCTGCCGCCGTCAACATAGGCAGTGGTTACAATGCGAGTTTCCGAAGCGGTAGCGTAAATTAGTTGTAAGATGTGTGCCTCATACGTAGCAGACCCAGGTTCTATCCACGGTGTGGGCATCTTTTTTTTTTCCCTCGAACATTTTGTTTTGTCGAGGCATTTGGCGATATTTATGACATTTCGTTTTTACGATTAAGACTGAAAAAAAAATGTTGTCGACGAAACATCGCTGAACTAAATCGTATGGGACTCTATTCGTGAATGTGCATGGGGGACAGCGGGGCTTGGGTTGCCGGCTGCAAAGCGGCGTGTACGGGGGTAGAAGGGGGGACGGGGGGGGGGGGGGGGGGGCTAAGTGGGTTAATAGCTTTGTAATTAGCAGCCGCACACTGTCGCCGCGAAGCGGCGTGAACGCAGGCGGGGGGAGGGGGGGGGGGGGGTTATATATACGCGCAGTCCGAATCCGAAAAGTTCCCGCGCGTTGCCGAGCAGCCGATCCGGCGTGAGCGTCGTTGCTAGAGGGTCTATCACCTGTGCGGTAGTGATGGACCGAATCTGCCGAACTTCAGATTCGGCAAAGTTCCGCACATGCCGAAATTTAGAAGGAAAGTTCGGCGAAAATTCGGCAAATGTTGGCGCGCGCACGACCGCGACGGGGCCATGGATCGCAAATGAACGCCGCGCAGTCGTGCGGTTACCATCGTACAGTTTAGTATAACCAGCGGTTACAGCGATCTGTGGAGTAGGTGACACGTTAACTGTGCGCTTGCGAGCTATCGCGAGTGTGGTTCTCTTCAATATTTTCTGCCTCAAGAACAGAAGATCGACCAGCAATTTACGCAGTCCACTACGCAAGTGACAAATGATGCTGTGAATTCTGGATAACGTGATTTTCATTTGATGTTTCCATTGATGCAACGAGGTAGTTGAAACATTGACTGACAACTGACAATTACGCTCAGTGTGTGCAGCCCACTGCCGTCAAACGGGGCAGAGTCACGAGAGCTTGTCAGAATGTATGGCACGCAGGTGGCATCCTTGTCATAATGTGATAAATGTTTTCCCCCTTCTTTTATTTCCTTTTTACGCACTTTCTGTAGTGTCTATATTCTGTACATTTATTTGTCTGTTTTGTTTTTTCACATCTGGTGGCGGGCTCGCAGGCGCTCTGCGTAAGGGTTTTCACCTATCTGCCTAGCCCGGGCCGCACACCACCACATGGGCCCCTTCCAGTTTGTGCAAATAAAATTATTATTATTATTATTATTATTATAACAATGATATTTTCGGCTCACAAGTAGTTTGTGCCAAAACAGAACACTATTGCGTTATAGTTCGCGTTATTTCGCGATTTTCATGTCTCTGCATAACGACGTTGCACATCTGACATTCCTAACTCTCCCAATCTTCCTAAACGTACGTGTGTGTCCTAACACAAGAAACCGGAAATTTAAAGGTTAAAAACGGCACGTTTCAAATATGGAACGCACACTTTCATGCAAAGCTGACGTTAAGTGACTCAAATCGAAAAATATGCATATTTACAATATTGTTATCTCTTCTGGTGAAGGCTCAGCAACCGTTGCATTCGTTTTCGCGCACGAAACGCGACTCCCAGAGAAAGTAAGAACGCAGTGATTGCCTTCATTTTAATAATGTAAATACACTTACAGGCGTGCGCTGATGAAGTCTCAAAATCAAAACCCTGGTAGCGTGATTCGTGACTGCGCCGGCAACTACCCAACCTCGTTGTCACGCCACTTTCTGGAAGCAGACACTAAAATTGCAAGTAAACACACAAAAGCGACACCGATACAATTATCTTGCCGAATATCGCCTCATTTAGTAATAACTGTGTCAATGGGCACTACATGTTGTATTTAAGTTAAGAAAGAAAGAAAACATAAACCTTTTTTTTAGAAAAAACTAAATATCAACGTTAAGTCTGGAAAATAGCTAACGTAATACCTGTTCACAAAACTGCTGATCGCCAACTAATAAATAATTACCTCCCATCTCTCTCACCAGTGTTCCATCTACCTAAGCTCCATGGAGCATATACTTTACTCAAATATAATAAACTTTTTTGATTCTGATAACCATCTTTTTGAACATCAGCTAAGATTTCGTAAATCTTACTCTTGTGAAACCCAGCTAACCGCCCTCCTTACTGATATTTATTCAAGCTTCGATTCGAATATTCAGACCGACGCCATTTTCATTGACTTCTCCAAAGCATTTGACAAGTACCACACCAACGTTTTTTAACAAAGCTTAACGATATTAATATTCATCCCTCTGTTGTTAAGTGGATTTCTGAATTTCTAATTAGCCGTACGCAATATTCCTTCGTTAGCAACGTCAAATCTCCCACCTCTACCGTAACGTCAGGTGTCCCCCAGGGAACCGTACTGGGCCCCCTTCTGTTCCTACTCTATAGTAATGATCTCCACCTTAATATAGGTTCTTCTGTGCGCCTGTTCGCCGACAATTGTGTCATTTACCGATTCATTATTTTATATCATGATCATCATGCTATCCAGGAAGACCTTGAGTCTGTAATCCATTGGTGTGAAAAAAGGCAGATGACGTTAAACTTCAATAAATGTAGATCCCTATCATTTTGCCGCAGTTCGCGTTCCACACCATTTTTGAATTGCCTCACTAACACTCAAGTAATAGCATGCTCATCACATAAATACCTGGGTGTTCATCTCACCTATGACCTATCATGGACTACTCACATAACTTTTGTTATTTCTGATACTAACCGTTCTCTCGGATATTTGCGCCGTAACCTCAAACTTGCTACACCCTCCGTAAAACGACTAGCGTATACTACTCTTATAAGATCAAAGTTAGAATACGCCTCATCTATATGGTCCCCCCATGGCAGACCTACCTTGCAAAAAATTTAGGATCCGTCCAAAACAGAGCAATTCGTTTTATTTATAACAACTATTCCCCATATACCAGCATATCAGGATTACGACAATCAGCTAACCTTCATTCACTTTCCCTTCGCTGCCAAGTATCACGCCTTTCTCTCCTCCATCGAATTTTTTATCACAATAGCCACCTCAAAGAATTACTGCTATCAACTCCCCATCGTATTGTCCCGCGTCTAGATGACCTATGTAAATTACGTCCAATTCGATCATCAACTGCTTCTCACCAGACTTCCACACTACCATTGGCCGTCGAGGATTGGAATTCACTACCTCATAACATCGTTTCTATTAGTGTTACTACTAAATTTGTTGAAGCCATTACCCTCTCTTTATCTAACCTATATACCTAGCTAGCTTACAGTTTTATACTGGTGTTTACTGTTCTATTTGTTTTTGTTCTATTTCCACCCCCTTGTATAATGCCCCACGAGCCCTCAAAGAAAATAAATGATAATGATGATGATGAACATTGTATTTTTGTCGAATCTTTGCCGAATCTTTAGAAACGTTCGGCAAAAGTTCGGCCCATCACTGGTAAAAATATGCGACCCGGAGGGGGGGGGGGGGGGGGTTTGCCCCCCCCCCTCCACACACACACACACACTCAAAAACAAGTTGATACGCCACAGTTTCAGTTGCTTGCCATCACTTACGGCGATAGACACAGCAGAACACTTGTGCTAACTGTCAGATATCCCTGGAATACTGTCGGTCTATATATAACTAGAGTGAAGGTTTCGCGTTACTTGTGACCTGAAATCTTCATAGTATGCATAAGAAATTGTCCCTTACAACGTTGTCAAAATTATTTGAAGCAAACGGCAAAATAAATATCAGTAAAACATACATAGATCTGAAGCGTTCCAGTGATACCCCACAAGTGGTGTCAGTGTGTTCCCCCGTCGTACTATTTGGTTAGGTGGCGCAGGTCAACGCCAAATTCAAAGGTAACAGCCGTCACCGCATGCCATCCCTTCATCTATTCATCACTCGCAAACCGTCACAAGCGGCTCGAACGCACTCGATCTGACTCGAACGCAAGTGTGTGAACCATCTTTTTCGATACCGCTACGCGTTGCCAACAAAAACGAAGCTTTGCGCCCCCTGGTTGCCGTGATTACTTGAGGTGGGATGTCGACGTAATCAAGCGTTATAATCAGTGAACGGTTTTTTTTTTTTACTCACAATGGTCGGCCTGCTGTAGCCCCAGTGCCTCGGAGGCTCCGAGACGACCGAGGTGTCCGACTCGTAGCCCGTGGTCGACCTCCCGCGCAGGCTGGACTGCGAGCCCGAGGGCGTGAAGCTGAGGCTGTCGCCCGAGCCCCAGATCTTCACGTCGGCCGCCGACATGCCCTGGCCTAGAGACAGGGTCTTGCGGTGCATCGAGCGGGTGCGAGGCGGTGCCCGGATGACGGGAGTGGACATCATGGCGGCCTGGTTCGCCATGTCCGTCGCCGATAACGCCCTGTGTGTGTCATATACGTATGCATTAATAAGCTCTAGAAATGTTTTAAATATTTTCGTGAAAACTATAGGTTATTGCGGTCTGTGCAGGTGTGGCTTATGCTTGGAGGACATATAAGGAGGTAATTATCACGAGAAGTCAAATAATTAACTAAAATTTGTGAATCGACTTTTTTAGCTAGTGAAAATAAACATATGGATCCAATTAGAAACTCGGTGCATGCCATGTAAGACCACTAAATCAGTAGATTTAAGCCAAATTTTGAGCGCATGGGAAGCGAGATAGTGCGCTCAAGTTATCACACGTGGAAGAGGCGTAAAGCTGCGCGTGCGAAAACGCGAATGATAAAATATGGAAAAACTGCGGGGGGCACGTTTTCGCACCAGCAGCCTTGCGCCTGTTGCACGAGTGATAACTAGAATTCTGTGTACCTACGGGTAGCAGAGTTGCGCATTCGACCTCGGCGGGTGGCCGTAGCATCGGCTTTCCCTCACGACCCTGGAGTCTGCTTGTCACGTGACTGAACTCGGCGAATAGCGTCGCCGCGTGCGCCGCCTCGCATGGAAAACAGGAAAGGAGGAGAGGGAGGCAGAAGCAGGGAACATACGCCGGTGCGCCAGCAACGTCGGCGAAGCGACCGTACTGGTGGCTTTCCTGCACGGCGTTGGATTATTTGTTCCTTGCGTATTCGATTTCGGCGAATAGCGGCGTGGCGGCTCGGAGAAAACTAACAAGCAACTCTGCTCCCCCTTCGGGAGAGCAAATTGAAGAACTCTATACTTTAGCACAACACCGCGCTTTTCACGCACCTTAGTCTTTCCAAAATCGACTGATTTAGCGGTTTTCAATGACGCTCAGTGAGTTCTTAATTGGAATCATATGTTAATCCTTACCAATTAGAAGTTAAGTAATGAACTACAGTTAATTAATTAACTTATCATGACAAAATATGTACAAAACTGGAAACATTGGGTATAATATTTTCGAGCAACATGACTTGGAATGAGCATGTACCATACTTGAGAAATACGCTTTGCAGAGTTGTAGGCGTTATGAATAAAGATTGATATCTTACCCGCCAATGTTAAAACCACCCTGTACAGATATCTTTTTCATACTCATTTATGTTTTAAGCAGTTCGTATGGGGCACTACTTGCATAACTAACATCAATCACTTGTGTATGCTTCAGAAAAAAAATGCGCTAAGAATCATCGCTAATGTTCCATATTTTCATCCCCCATTGCCCTTGTTTGAAAGGTATCATGTATCTCATTTTTACAGCCAGCGTCTTCTTAAACTACGTCTATACTGTAAAAGGAAAAATCGTCACTCGAACAAGCCGGCATCACGGAAAATCACACTATTTATATAACAAGAGCTAAACGACCCTCCCATATGCCACTATCAAAAACTAACTTCGGCTTGCAGAGAATGAAACATACGCTACCAGCTCTACTGAGTGGTCTCGTTTCACGCGATATTGATATCAATTTACTCACTCGCAAATCTATACCTTCCATATTTTGCTAACGTTTCATCCATCGTCTTGGGGTCTTCTATAGTTACACGCACCATTTGCAGTGTTTATATGTGAGCACTCGTTTTTTGTTTTTTTTTCTGCGTTGTCCTCTTTTTTTGTGTTGGTTGTTCAGATGCCATTGCTGTTCTTTGTGTTGCGCTTGCTGTTTCTTATAGAGAACGTCCTCCCCTTTCGGTGTTTCTTTTTGACACAAATGTTGTTCGTTGGGGGGCCGGAACTTTGTCAGGCCTCACCACTGACGAAGTTCAATTCAATTCACTCGTCCCCTTATATTATTTACCCCTGGACGTATAACTCACGCGCACAGACCGCATTTATGTAGCTTTCACGGTGTTTTTACAAACTTTCCAAAAAAAAAACAAAAAAAAAACAACCTTGTATAAGTGTGAGTGTGAATGGACGAACACATACAATACTTCGTTCCACCTTAGAATGCAGTGCAACAGACGTCACGAGCTATCTCGGCGGATCAAGTGCTCCAAGTGGTCCACGTGGCTTCACACTCCGCGCGTCACTCTGCTCAACCAGAAGGTCACTTGACAAGCTCCGAGCTATGGTTTGGCTCCGGTGGCTCATATGTAGTCTGCCGCGTTACATGATAAGGTGGAACAGAGTACTCTAAAACTCATTGTGTAAATGCAGGCACGTGTATTAACTGCAGTAGAAACTGCAGTTAATACACGTGCGCAGAATCCAGTGTTGAGAAGATCCGAACGTGTGCACGTGGCGCCTCCCGTATCGAGCGCCACAGGTCTCGAGCGATCTCACAAGAGTGAGTTGGTGCTTGGGAATTTGTGGGGCATAACGTCATCGTGTGCAAGTGTCACTCTGCCGAGTAATTCACAGTGCCTCCAAACACCGCGTAAAATAAGAATGTCAATTATGGTTCCCCTGTGTGATCTAGGTATGGAAGTTACCAGCATAAAGGCGTCAGCGGAGAACATGTAAACGTAACGTTGCCATACAAATAAAGTACACAACATTCCCGGATCGATTAGCGTTTATACTATCTGACATAAAGAAATAGCGCCTACGTCTGAGGCGAACCATCTACTATAGTTTAGATTAAAAATCATTGGTATTTGTTTAAGCTGGTACTATCCTTTTTTAAGTTATTTCTGAAATTCATTGTAGCAACAATAAAATTATTAAGATACCTTGGAGTCGCAAGCATTCGAAACCTCACACAGGTAAAATGGGCGTAGGGAACAAAGTCTAGAGGCTATATACTTTCTATGTGTACAAAGTTACTAATTTTAGGTATAAAATCTCTGGAAAATCTCTGAGCAGGAACTGTGTGCTCTTTTAGAAACTATCTCTGATGCACGTTGCAACAAACAAAAAATGATCACGAGATTCTGAAGATCCATTAGAAACTACACACAGACATATGATGCACGAAATGACGTAGTGAGTCACAAAAAGTGGGCGGGTGTCATGAGAAGCTTTGATTTTATAATTAATAGATGAAACAGAACACAATTTATAAACCAGAAGTTCCACTTTTGCTTTAAAGGAAAAATAAAACGATCTTCCTTATTTTTACAGAAGTGCAAAGTGCAGCGCTCAAACACACGATCACGAATATTTAATAAAAACAAAGGCTTGAAACCTTATATAAAAGCTATGTTTAGCGCAAGTTCGTCTGCTTCTTGCACATAGGTTGGGGATGACGTCAGAACGTAGAGCTCTTATTGGCTGATTGACAAAAAAAAAATAGTGGATAGACCTCAAGGCATCTAGCATTGACGTCTACCGACTATCCATCCAATCAAAGCCAATCAGAACTCGGCATCTTTCTGAGGTCATAGCAACCCCTGAGCAAGAAGCAGACGACTTGCTCCCCGGATTGGTCCGATTGAGTATGCTCAGAGACGGAGCCGGGGGAAGGAATTGCTTGCGTTAACTTGAATGAGTATATTGCGAAATAGCACACTTATGGCATACACATTAAGAGTTCTAATTTGGTTTTGGTTGAAACGATATTTATGCTGATAGCCGTTCTTTTCTAAGCACCATTTTTTGCAAGGTTGGTCCGGCGGGCTAGAATCTATCATCTTACGGGACAGGCACATTGACAATGGTAGGAATTAATACTAGCAATTAAGCTAGTTTAAAAAAAAAAGAAAGGAAAGCGACATCACCTTCGGAATGAGGTAGTTCGCCTGATCATGTCTTCATCTCTCACAGGCTTCGTTGATTCTCTCAGAGACTCCGTTTGCTGGACGACCTGATGGGAAACCGACGCAATTGAAGATGTGAATTAATTTGTCCAAGCCGTGAGATGCCTCCACTAGTTTCACCTTACGGTGTGCTGAATGGTAATTCTCCGATAATTATTGAGTGAAATGACAGATTTTGACATTATAATTTGACACTCTGAAAGTCTAAAACAAGTGACGTAACCTGTTTGTGTCTTTCTAAAATACCATAGCAATTACAAGATATGTATCTGGCTACCCAGTTAAGATTACTGTATATTTTCGAAATGTTCTGCTTAATTCCTACCCTTAATTGCTTGTGAAGGAGCCGTACTATACACAAGGCCAATATGTTTTCGGATAAAACTACAATTTATAGAAAATTTGCATCGTCTACAAGCTTTATTAGCACCAGGCTAAACCCGAAATCTCCACGAATACGAAAAAAAAACGGTCTCCGAGTCCAGTAATTTTAAGCCATCTAGATGCATAAAAGCATGCTCGAGCAGTGATAATAATATGGTATAAAAAAATTAAAATAAATCACAATTTTTTTTTAATTTAAAGTATCACCAGACAAATGTTAAATAGCGCAAAATAATCTCTAACTGTAGTATATACGGGGTGTTTCACGAAAGGAGGACAAAATCGATATTGCGAAAACAACGCATTGCACAAAAGAAAAAAAAAAAGAAAAAAAACTTGTGTCGTTTTAATCCTAAAGGCCAGAGGCATATTTAGGGAAGTTATTAAAGTTCGGAATAATTAGGTTGGTAATTATTTTCGCATAATTATTTTTTCTAAATATTGACTTTAAGGACATGGTTTCATTTGGAAACTTGCTGAGCATCATCGAAAGACACTAAATAAAAAAAAAAAAGAATTGGAGGGCGATAGAAGGCACGCGCTGCAGTTTACAGCTTTCTGAAAAACCGCACAACTTTGACGGGTTTGTGAGTTTCGGTTTGCAATCGGAGCAGTTCTCGGTACCGACGGCACCGCGCCCCGAGGGGAAATAGTGCAGCCTGCTTCTGCTGTGTTGCGCGAGGACAGCGAAGCAGATGTTGGTTGCACTATTTCTCCACGGGACGCGGTACCGTCGATGCCGAGAAGCGCTCCCATGGCAAACCGAAACTTAAAAGCCCGTTGAAGTTGTGCTGTTTTTCAGGAAGCTGTAAAATGCAGCGCGTGCCTTCTATCGGACTCAAATCTTTTTACTTAGTGTTTTTCAATGATGCTCAGCTAGTTTCCAAGTAAAACAATGCCCTGAAACTCAATATATAAAAATTAATTTCGCGAAACACGATAATTATCCCGAACTTTAATAATTTTCTTAAATAGGCCCCTGGCCTAGAACCAAAACAATACAAGCCTTTTTTTTTTTCTTTTGGTTCGAGGCGTAGTTTTTGCAATATCAAATTTGTCCACCTTTCGTGAAACACCCTGTATATGACGCAAAATAAGGGGTTGCGCAGATAAAGCCACTGATTGATGCAAAATAAAGGGGGTTAAGTTTAATGTTTGATCAGAACGCTGAGAAACAATTTAAAAACTTAGGTAAACACTCCAAAAAAGAAAAAAAAATGGAGAAGGGAGATGCAAATGGTGAAAAATGCCTTCGTCGACGTTTTGGCAGTGGTACGGCATTTTCGGGACGTCCCGAAGAAGGCAGTGTAACTGCCGAAACGTCGACCAAGGCCTTTTATGCCCCCCCCCCCCCCCCCCACTTGCATCCCCCTTCTCTATTTTTTTTTTCTCTTTTTAGCATTTTGACCTAAATTTGTAAATTGTTTCTAGCAGTCTCCTTATCACACATTAAACTGAACCCCCCCCCCTTTTTTTTTTGTTGCATCCATCAGCTCTTTGTCTGTGCAACCCCTTCTTTCGCGCCTTACTGTAAAACCCTTAATGTTCGCGAGCCCTTAATTTTCGCAAATTTCTCGAATTCAAAAATTTTAAAAATTCAACGGAACGCGAACATTTCGGTCCTTAAGAGTTTCAATGCAGGCGTCTGGGATTCGCGAAATTTAATGGCCGCGAAAATAGCGGTGTATTCCAGTATATTAATAAAGCGTTTGTTACTTGTTTTTTTTTCTCACAAGCGATATATATATATATATATATATATATATATATATATATATATATATATATATATATATATATATATATATATATATATATATATATATATATATATAACGGGCATGGTGGCGGGAGGCCGAAGGCGTGGGTATAAAACTGAGAAGAAAAAAACCCTTAGTGAAAAACAGCAACAACGGACGATTTAATCTTCGACGTTTCGGCCGGAGTCCGGCCTTCGTCAGGAAGACTTCCTGACGAAGGCCGGACTCCGGCCGAAACGTCGAAGATTAAATCGTCCGTTGTTGCTGTTTTTCACTAAGGGTTTTTTTCTTCTCAGTTTTATATATATATATATATATATATATATATATATATATATATATATATATATATTTCGATTCTTTAAATTGACTGGAGACAAAACACCGATCCCCTCCCAAATATAGAAAAATAAAATAAAGAAAACCATATCAACGAAGAACGAAAACAACATACACAACCTCCCCACGACGTTCGATATTACCGTGGGCTAGAGCGCGCACTCCGAAACGTCATCAAGACAGTGCATAGGAAAGAGAACCTCGTGCGTCTTGCAACGTGACTCGCACTTCCTGCTTGATAGCAATCCGAGTAAGCGTACCGCTACGCCATGGCACAAAGGTTGTCATTGTCCACCGCCTCCTGTCCTGAAGACAGCAAACCGTGTCTGAGGCACAATGTGCCATTGGACCCGTTCCAAGGGCTCGGGGCACAGCGCGCCGAGAGTCCACGACTCTGCAAACCCTGGAGCAGCGCCAAGTCCTTCTTGCAAGACCTGTCTCCGGCAAAGAGTCGGCCAACGGGCCACGACTACCACGCAGTTTTTCGTGCCGTTGCACCCGGAGGTGTTGACGATTCACTAATTGGCCAGAGAAATTTAAGCCGGAACCAGCCTTTTTTCTTTTTTTGATAGTATGTTCCGAATATGGGCAGCTTTAACAGGCAATTTTAAATAACTGGTTTCAGAAAATTGCGAAGGCCGATGAGCCATGTTATTGCAATATTTCTTGCTGTATAAGGGAAAAATGATATATTTGTTGCTACACACTTCAAGTCTAAGTATTTCAATAAAAAACCTTTCTCGTATATTAAGGACTTGTACTCTTACGTAGATCAAGTTGATTCTCCATCAAACTCTCCCTTTTTTTTGTCTCTGACAAGGCAAGGCGATTATCGGTTTGCCTAGTGAGTTAACGAACTGCAGCTGGGAGCACGTACGCCAAAAGCTCGCAATGCAGAGCCCAGGGACCCTGAGCGCAATCCCCATCCCGGCCCGTTTCGATCTAGATGAGCATGCATGTACCGGCGTGCGGTTGTGTGCCCCTACTGCTTGATGCACGTTAAAGACCCCCGGTTAGCGGTGGTACCGCATTGGTTAAATTTCTCATCTGGAAGTTAATCAACCCCAGTGGACGTTTCTCAGCGTCCACCGGGGTTGATTAACTTCCAGCTGCTTAAACATGCACGTACAGAACACAATTACAATTATACACGGGCCATTCAACGTTTATAGCACACACAAGCCCGAATTTCACTTGCTCTCATAGTCGCAACCGGATGCCGTTCAATGCGGAGAGCTAGTCGTCTGCTACTTGCGCAGGAGTTGCCGTGACGTCAGAAAGACGCCGAGCTCTGATTGGCTCTGATTGAAGGATAGTGGGTAGACCTCAAAGCAAGTTGCCTTGAGGTCTACCCACTATCCTTCAATCAAAGCCAATCAAAGCTCGGCGTTCTGACGTCACTACAACCCCTGAAAAAGAAGCAGACGAGCTTGCGCTCCGCATAGCCAGAGAGTTTCAGTCATCCAACAAGTATACAACATTAAGAACCACCCAAGCATTCACTTGCTTGTCCTAATCCTTACCTTCTGCAGGATGCCCATGAGGTCATCCTTCGGCGTGGAACCCATCCGCAGCGGTCGACGAACTGCCTGAGCCTTGCTTTGGTCTTCGGCGAAGATGCCTTCCAACTGCACCAAGTCCGTCATCTTTTTCACGTCCGCGATCAAGTCTGACACTAGGGCTTGCACGTCCATCGTTGCGGCCACCCTCTGACGCCAGTCTTCACGTTCTCGGTCCAGGCGCTCCTTTTCGCGTCGCACTCTTTCAAACTGAGTCTTGAGGCGACCGTTGGCATCCTTCACTTGCTCCAGTTCCGCTTGTAGCTGTGGCATGAAAACCAGGAAGAACAGATTCATTTCTGCCTAAGCTCCATGGGGAGCTGGCCGAACCATTCGAACAGTGCCAACAACCGACATCTCTAGGCCTTAGTGCTCATATGGGCTTGCAGCTACAGGATTCCCTCCTCATGCCCACACACTGCAAGAAACGAAATTCTTAGCATGCTTTGTATAATCCTATGGCAAGTAAGGACGTAGCCTAGTAAGCTATGATCATCTGGAAACGTACGAAGCGCTAGAGCTCATTGATAACTCTTATTTTTCATTTCTTTTTAGCGTCAGACAGTTAGTTTTTAGTCAACATTGCTAGTTGCGATTTATAGGATTGAAATGGTGGAGAGTTTTTAGTATTGCGTATAGGAGCAAAAGAAAGCGCAGCGTGTTTGCGTTAGCGTTGCGTGCACTGAGCACACGCGTCGTCGCCATGCGCCAATCCGAGACGCAGTTTGGGCTCCGCGCACGTGCGGTGGCGACGACGCTATTCCTTCGCGTTCACCAAGCACTTGCGTACGCTATTCTAAAATTCGCTATTAGTGAGTTTAAGTATTGCGTATACGAGCGAATGTAAGCACTCTGCGTATGGGTTAGCGTTGCGTGTTCCACAATGCGCGTGCTCGGAGCCCGAACTGCGGTCTTGGACTGGCGTATGGCAACGACGCACATGCGCAGCGTAGGACACGCAATGCTAACGCAAATGCGGTATACATTCGCTTTTTCTCCTTTACGCAATATCGGAAAGTATTAGTGTTGTGTATAGGAGCAAACGCAAGCACTCTGCGTTTGCACTTGCGCTGCATGCTTCACACTGCGCGTGCTCCGTACGTACGCAAAGTCGCGAGCTTTACGTACGCTCGCTAGCTATCGATTATTGTGTGCGTACGCGGTGGTCCCCTGCGTTCTCGTCTCGTTGCTCTCGTCACACGCGGAAGAGCGCCAGACTCAGATCGGCCTGACAGAGTACCGGCCTTGGATTACTCGGAGCAGTTTGCGATGTTAGATCTGCATGACGCTGCAACTGCTCGCATAGGAGTTTGCGTTCTGCAGTACGATAGAAGTGCAGGTTTGACGCGCTCCGCAGTGTTTTCATTGAGAGCTTGAGTCCGTCGCAAGCAGTATAAAGCGACGGCGGGCGGTTTCAATTTCTCTCCAAATAGCAATATGTACTTCCATTCTGCTTTTATCACTCAGGAAAAAAATGCTAGGTCACTGAGCCGCGGTAGCGTGCGCGGCGTCTGATATTCCGCAGAAGAGAGCTACAGCTCATGATCCAAGCGCGTTCCACTGCCCAGTAGACAAAGACAGTAGCACGCAGAAGCCCGGTACCGTAACGGTCAATACTTGCCTCTAGAATATCTTTGGAGACATCGTCCTGTCCACCTTCGAGCTTTCTCCGCAGGTCCTGTATGGTCTTGTTTGCGTTCTCCCTCTCGGTCTCTCTGTCCGCCTCTGCTTTAAGGAACCTTTGGCGGAGGTCTTTTAACGAAGCCTCGGTGTCGCTCATGACCTTCTGCAGGTCAGCGCGCTCTTTCTCCCAGGCCAGCTCGAGGCGCGTCTTGGCGTACAGCTTGGTGGAACCCCGACTTGCTTCAAGCAGGTTCCGTTCTTCATACTGCACAAGAAGGCAAGGTTATCTTAATTACGTTTCATCTTTTTAATTAGTCCTTTTTTACCCATGCACGGGTTTCTCTTAACGTAATTTCGAATATCAATGTTCAATTAAGCTTTAAAGACTAAAGACTGCAGTGGTAACTTTAACACACATTAACCTACCACCGCGTAAAAATAACGCGTACCACAATTACTTGTGAATGGGGCCAGCTGAACATGAAAAACACACACTTGCATGCTCAGCTTTTAAGCCCATAACAGCGTACCACCACAACATGAATAGCTAATGGACACACTAACTGATTTAGTTGAATATACCGTACTACGATCTCCTCACACTTATGCGGCCTGTGTAACTCCGAGTTTGGTTTGACATACTCATACACGGCCTTGACGCATCTCTAATCTCACGAAGAAAAACCTGTAGGTAAGCAGCCATTCTTTCGACGTACAAATTTTGTCCCGCGCATGGCTTAGAAATATTCAAGGCAATCTTTTGCCACGACCCTGTGCCCTAAGATTGAACGACACTTTATTTATTATTTGGATGTTAAAACAAACTTTGGGAGCAACAGCGGCCTGTGTGGACGCTAAAATGACTGTTCTGCTCAAGTATTATTTCACAAATTAGTGGGTGAATAGTCAATGGTCATGCTTAAAAAAAATACCTGCATGGGCATCAACCGAATTAAGTCTTTGTTAGCATTTTCTGCTTTAAGTTGGTTACGAGTGACGGCTGTAACCAAATCGTAATGGACTAATACAACGAAACGCGCGGTTACCTGATTCAGCTTGGACTTGAGGTTCGAAAGCTGAATCTCCCAGGAGCTTTTGTCCGCATCAATCTGTATCCGGAGCTTACGATTGTCAGTCAGGCTCTCCTCGAGCTGATTTTTGAGGTCGTCCGCTTGAATCCTGAGTTCCTCTGCCTTCTTCTGAATGGTTTCGAACTGAAAGGTGAAAAATGAAGCGCCACCCCTGTTAATTCAAGAAAACGTATCTTTAAAGTCAATCTTTATTAACTACCACATTAATCACAATATGTATGATAAATAAACAAAATTACAGGTAAAAAAAATGAAAACTCTGACCGACAAAGCTAATATTTATGGAAGATTAAAATTTATTTCGGAGACTTTCGTCACTCTAACTTTGGTAGTGAGGTTACCCAACGTCAAACTCTGCAGTCCCATTGCCTGCAGTCGATGTTTTTTATTTTTTATTTTTCTTCAAAATGGACATGACGGCAAAATCGATGTAACAAATATCTGAAGAAAATTGCGACGCCACGTAAGTGGGTACGTTGGGCAGGAGTGAGTAACGGTGAAAAGTTCCAATTTTATCGTATAAAGACTACACCATTCTAAGTAATGTTTACATTCCTGTATACTGTTTTTGAGTTTACTGGTGAGGTAAGAAATGTCGAGTTATTGGTTCAGGACGCATACGATACTTCTAATATTTCACAGAAGAGAGCTTTTGTGCGTGCTCAAAACACACCGCACAGCGTAGTAGACGAAGATCGGAGCGTGCAAAAGGATATTGCTGGAAATGATCGACAGAGCCGGAAGATGTGCACGGCACCTTCAATTATACAATTTAGGTTCGTTTTTATTGTTATAGACTTGAAATTCAATGCATCAATCTAGCAATATAATGTTGGAATGCTTATTGTAATGCTTAAGTATTTCGTTATCCAACAAGCCTGACTCGGCAACCCTTCGAGCTCGCCGTCTAGAAGAAAAAGTCTTGAATACCTTACTAGCTTCTGCGAGCGAGGCTCAAAAGAAACGTCGAATCTTGGTGATGAGCTAAAGCAACAACAGGACTAATAAATATCTCACGTGGAGTGTGTCGATCGGTCAACAGTTCCAATGCCAATGTACATTTAGTCAAGGAGTTAGCTACTGAACCCTCAAGGTGTATCGCCCAACTTCTCGTGAAATTTTATAAGCTATAATGTCATCAGGTTGTTTAGCACTGGGCCTGTTCCATAACTCATTCATATACCTGTCATACAAAACAATGGTTTATAATTTGCAAATTTCACTAGTTAAGATAGAAACCTTAAACGGGAAAAGGTCATATTAAATGTGGAGTTATTGACTTAGTGACTTCACCTGAGACGGGGATTTTGTCTAGGAAGAAACAAAGACAGCTTCTCCGAGTTTGTTTCGTCCTGTAGAAAACCCGAGCCTCGGGTAAAGGCGCTGCATTTAGCCTTCACTAGCTTGCTTGCACAATCGGTGAGTTATTTCCAGGTTACTCACTGCCTCTTTCCCGCGCGATCGTTCCCTCCGTAGCGAACTGCTCTTGAGTGCGCTGATCTCCTTGAGGGCTTCGTCCAGCTTCTCCCGTATCTGGTCCCTCTCCCTGGCCACGGACACGATCTGTGCCTGCTGTGAGTGCATCTCGCCGGTCATGAAGCACACCCGCTCCTCGTAGTCTGCCCGCATGGCGGCCTGCTCTGCCTTGTGCACATGGCTGGAGTGGTCCAGCCGGGCCTTGAGCTCGTGCGTTTCTCCCTTGCCCAACTGGAGGGTCCTCAGACTACGCTCGGACCGCTCCAACTCCGCCACGCGCTTCATCAGTTCCTCGTTCTGAATGGACAAGTATTGACAGACAGTTCCGGCCGAGTCATATAACCTCCTATAGGTGACGTGTTGAGAAGAGGAGCACACCAATCAAATAAATGGCGGCACAGCGAATTCGCAGCCAGCGCGCGATGTCATTGATAAAAGTACGTGGGCGTGTTTGCGGGTAAACAAAAACGCACGAGGTTGCGCAATGACCAGACTGACTTGCACGCCGTATAGGCCGTTTCACATTAAGTCCGAGCGCAGCCGACGCTACGATGAGTACGATCGGATGGGGCGAATCAAACAGCGCTAAACGTGCATCGTCACGGTGCTTGTCGCCTGGGTGCGTTTGGGTTACCGGTTAAATCAATCACCCGCAGAAAAGGATCGTGGCACATTTACAGTGTGCGATTAGTTTATCTTCTTGGACTTAGGGCTAGGTGGCGCAAGCTACCGCCCGTTACGTGTGGTATAGCAATTGACATCCATCCATTTATAGTTTAGCCGGTGAGAGCAATCGCACAAACACGACTAGCGCTTTGATGGTGCAATTTTGGCGCTGAATGATTGGCACCTTCGGATCGTAACATCGGCTGCGCTCGGAGTCTCGGACTTAATTTGAAGCGGATTATAGACTACTCCAGCTGGGCCCAGTCAGTTCCTCGTTCTGAAAGGAAAAGAACCGCGGACACGTGGCTCCTCCTTTCGCGGCATCTCGGGTCTAGACGGTAGTCGATCCGTAAATTGGCGAGTGTAAGAGTCGGCCAGCGAAGGCAATGAAGCCCTCAGTTGGCTCAACCTTATTCACAGTGTGTTCCACGTCGTGTCGTTACTGTCTCTTTTTTTTTGCTAGGTTTGAGCGTGATGAAACTAGGAATGGTTCTTGTGCACTACATCAAAACGAAACACAACCCTGCGTAAAGAAACTTGAAGAAGAAAGAAAACTATTTTCTACAACCCACAGAGGGGGGTAGCCGACATTTCCCTATAAAGAAGCTAAGCCTCTTCGTAAAACGTCCGCTGCCACTCTGAGACTTTCACGAAGGTTCCTTCAAAATTATCTGCTCTCGTAGTTAATGATGTCCGACAATACACCCTTGGAATTCCCGCCTTCTATTACAACAATAACTTATTGGTGTAGTCGATCTATATATGAGTAAACAAACCCTGGCAGAAGTTCTTTTTTCTTTTAGCTAATTATTGTTGCAGGCCCGATACCACTCGAGGCACTCACTCTAAAGTTGCCTTCACAGTGCTCGTACGTAATAAGAAGAAAATAAAAAGAAAAGGTGTTTGCTGAAGACACGATGAAGCGATTATCGGCGTACAGGCCTCACGCTTGCTTCTTGCTTCTTGCATCTTGCTTCATACACATCTGTGCTTAAAAAAAAAAAAATGGCCGAAGACAGTTTGCCGTACGACCAATATGATACGAGCGTAATACATGGAGGAAGTATGCCTATGACGGTGTCTGCACGCTCTCTATTTTTTTAAGGTGTATTTTAGCACTATGACTGCTGTTTAAAGCACGTTTTGAAATGGCAGCTAGCCATAGCAGAAAAGGTTATACGAAAACACGATATGTTACAACTCCTTAATGACGGCGACTCTGATTACGCAATAAATATTATTCAAAGAAAAAAAAAAGTTGCCCGCGTTCCGGGCGGTGGACATTAGGTCGAATGCTGCAAGTAAGGAAACGCAGTGTTCAAGTCTGTCCCAACGCCAAGTTGACGCTCACGCGTATTTTACTTAGACATGTGTTTTGCGCACCGGAATGCTTTACCATGTAGGTTCGTGTTTTAGGCTTATAGTCTATATCGCATGCCTTTATGGTCTAAGCTCTCTGCTCCGGAGGTGCATATCTGAGCAAAATTCCAGCGATAAGTATACGAGTACACCACTCGCCATGCATACCAGACACCTTGTTCTTTTCATTTTACAATTTAAAGCTAACCGGAATATCGAGCATTCGAGCCTGCATAAGGGAATATAAATCATCTTTAAGTTCAACAGTTCGTTTGAAAATAAAGTGGACTTCCGCTCTAAAATAAATTGCTAAACGTAAAAAAAAAAATATATATTCAGGGGCTTAAATAAGGTGAGAAGGTAGGCCTGGCTGCTCGATTTGAGGCAGCCAGGGCGGGAACCACGATGCAGTTATTAAGCACCTTCATTGTTTGCTTTTCTAATCGCTTTCTTTGTCATCTCTTTCATACAATTTGAATCAGCCATATCAGAAACATAAATGATCTCGAAGTTTTCGATATAGTTAGCCAATGCGACTTACTGAAACTATAACGCCTTCTTAATAAAGAAAAGAAATGACAAAACTATTCATAATTAACATTTAATCACCGCTCACCCGATGAATGAATGCTGTGCCGCCGCCAACAAGCATTACATAAAGAAAGCGGAGTTATATTAGTTTCAACACGGATGCCGTTTTATAAGCGTTTTGCGCCTTCTTATGATAGCATTAGTTTTTTTTTTTCTTTTTTTTAATAATGGTTTGCAGTGTCAATCTTTACTTTCTTGCTAAGTTGAAGAAAACATTACCTCACTCTTATTAAACGAAAATTGTCTCGCGAGTACATTTTATGAGCGGAAGAGAAAAAACAAAAGAAAAACGGCACTAACTTACCGTCACACACCTACGCGCACCAACACGCATGTGACGCACTCAGAAACGCACTAACACATTTCCGGCCAGGCAAGCTTGAAGGCGGGAAACAGGTGCGAAGCGGTTGGTACTATACGTTTAGTTTACGTATACGGTGCCTACGTGACGTAACCTACCTTCCTGCGGATTTTCTCTTTGTCTTCCCGGAAGGAGCGTTCCGATTTTCGGAGCTCTTCGATGATGACGTCCCTCTCGTTCAGGTTCGAACGCATCCGGTTCCGCTCCGCCTCGATGTCCTTTAACCGGGTCACCTTGGCCTCCAGCTCACGTATCAAATTCTGGACAAGCAATTACAAGACCAAACTAAGCCTGCCTTTATCATATCTGATAAATTCGGCGGCGCACAGGGCGCCTTGCGAAGGAAATGGAATCAGATGTCGGGTCTGTGTGCAAAGTCACGTGACGGTGACGTCAGGTGAGTCCGTAATGTCACGTGATATTATGAAGTTACGTGACACCGAACGTAACGCAAAATAACGTGACGTCACGATGCCACGCCGTGTCATGACGTCACGTGACAACGTGGCGTCATGTGACCTCCGAATTTGACGTCAAGGGACGCGACGTTACGAAGCCACGTGACGTTTTGAGGCCACGTAACCTGTGTGTCGGTCAAGGCAAATGTGTTTGTTGCCTTTCTCGTGAAGCCCAGCCGTAGAGACTATAACACTTTCTTTGTTAGAATGAAGAGCGTGACTAGAGTGCCATCAGAATACAAAATTGCTGGTCCTGCGTCCCTGTTTAAAGAGCGTTCAGTTAAAAACGTTTACGCTTCAGAAACCGTATAGCTTCACGGCACTGACCTCATAAAAGCGTACAGAAAATTTCAGGTATCAGAGACACACTTCAGGAGGCTGCAAGCCGAGACGTTAAGGTATTCGTATGCAATATTTACAGACGAGACATCACAAGCTTCGCGCCATGCTTTTACGCGAGGATTCAACCCACACTAAATAAATTGCAAAGCTGAGTTTTGCGTAAAACGACACTGTGATTGGCAGTAGAGGTGCGGTCAGGTGCTGTAAATGTATTTCGTTTTGCGTAACATTTTTAAATAAACACCGAACGTTTAGTCTACGCTAATGTGAAACGAAGCCTATTTTATATCAAGGTAAAAACAAAAAGAAAAGCAATAATCTGGAGCACACAATCAGCATCGTTTCCTTCCCACTTTTTACTGTTTATATTAAATTAAACGTCCCAGTGTTAGAAATTACCAATTGTTTTACTTCAGTTATAAACGCGCGTAACTTAATATCGATTCACACCGAAGGTTTTCTTTTTTTTTTTGCAAGTTTTGCTTGAAGAGACATTTTACTTTAAATAATTCCGATTTTGATTTCTTCAATTTTGTAAAGTAGACACCCTTAGTTTTATCTCTGCTGTACGTCATACGCCTTTGCGCCCAAGACAGATCTTAGTTCCACTAAGTTCTGCCAGCAGCGCATGAACCCGCTGCCTCTAGTGTAGTGAGTACATTTAGCAATGCCATAAGTAGAGATAACTCTATTCAATGCATCTAAAGGAGCCGCGTGATCTCTTTCACCAGTGATGCCTGTGAAAGCCGGTGTCAACGCCACTAACCCACACTCTTTGCTGACTCCAACGCCGTACCGTCCCTAATTTCTCGTGTTTTCCATCGATAAATCCTTGTTCCTAAACAACCTTTTTTTTCTCTCTCTTGCGTTTTATTTTACTTAAGTGGAAGCATAGCAGAAGCTACAAGAGCGAGCTCCGGACTTTCAGCGTCCCTGCCAAGCACTCAAGCTCGTGCAAGCATCGTTCAGAGCAACAGGCTTGTGTGGTTTCGCTCGCGCATAAGGTTATTGGCGACGTGCACGACCAAAAAGCGTCGCTCGTCTTTCTAATTCACGATTGGTCAAACGGTCGCTATGACGAGTTTAATTTCACTTTCGTCGACGCAAATAAAAGCAATGTCATACTGTCAACTTTGACGGTGTTGATTTAAGAAACGCAATGACTTCAAGCTCGCGTCTTGCTTTTCACATAGACCATCGAATTTTTCGCTCGCAACGATCGACGAGTATACCTGGATCACAACCCGTCACTTCACGTCACGTCACGACCAGGACGTCAGGGCCAGAAACCATAAAGGCCGTTTCAGACACTTGCGTTTGAGTGCGTTTGACTGCGTTGCGTCGAGAACCGAAAGCGAGTCACCGGCACATCTGCGCTTCGTATGAAGCGTGGAATCCAATTGAAGGAATCATCTTGGCACGCGATATAAGCGGCAGGGATGTCCTGGTTTCTCGCAGCCGCAACGCAGTCAGACGCAGTCAAACGCAACTGTCTGAACCAGGCTTGAGAGGGCTTCACCGAGACATCTCGGCGCTATAATAGCAACGACACGGTACGGCGCTGTCGAGACTCGCACCTGGAACTCCGTCTTTTCCCTCGAAGAGACTTCCTGCCTCGCGTTGAAGTTGTCCCTGACGGTCTTGAGCTCGTTGCTGATGCGCTCGTGCTCCTTGCGGAGCTGCTTGAGCGCGGCACCCAGCTGGTCCTTCTCCAGCGTCAGCTTGTTCTTCATGGAGAGGAACTCTTCCTCGAGCAGCTCGTAGCGAGACGTCAGGTCGTCGTATTCCTCCCTTTCTTTCGCGGCATCTTTCTCCATCTGCTTGCGGTGGTCGGCGTTCTCTTGCTCGAGCTGGGAACAAGCGGAGACACGGTGTTTTCTTCGCGCACGTTCCCCTGTCGTCTACAGTCACCGACACCTTAAGAAACCTAGGTTGAAATCCGAGCATCATATTAGTGCTCCGCAACCAATCAGATTCAGCCATTAGACAATACGAGCGCCGAAGAGCAAATCCCGAAGCAAGCAGCGTGAACATCGCTGCGCCCTGCGCTACTAAGACTGTCAGGGACTACTGAGTAACGAGAGGAGAACGTAAGTTTACAAGTTACCTTAAAGTACGGAGATACTCTAAAGCAGGGTTGTTCAGAGGGACATGGGGCTAGAGCCGCAGACAAAACTACAAAACTTCATAAAGCTGAAAGGGAAATAAAAGAAAAAAAGAAAAGATGTGTTGGGGGGGGGGGGGGGCGCTCCTTTAAGAAGAAACGATAAAGGGGGGGGGGGGGGCAGTCCTTACCAAGGGGGCCGAATATAATCGTCGACAACAAATAACGCCAGGCCGCAGAACGTTTCTTCGACCCCTAAGCGAAAGTGAATGCACGGTTCGCTAGCCAGCCACTGCTCGTTGACGCCCGTTATCCGTGTACGGTTCGAAATTCTGTCTAGAACTATGAAGGAAACGCGGTCTCTGGACAGACCTATGAGTCAAAAAGCAGTCCAGCTGCAGGTACGTAGTGCAGTACAAAAGTGCCAAGGCTGTGAGCTTTTTCTCTTTTCTTAATTCTAGATGTTTTTTTTCTTTTGTTTTGTTTTGGGGACGCAGGAGTGGAAGGGGGGCACGCTCAGCGAGCCACACTTGGACCTGCGGAGAGCCGCATGCGGATCGCGGGCCGCAGTGTGGTCACCCCTGCTCGAAAGTGCACTTAGGTTTCGACATTTTAACTTTACTTGTGGCAGTGCCCTGATCTGCGTACACACTAATTCAGCTTCTACTAAATGAATATGATAAAAAAAAAACATTATTATCAACAATTTTATTTTCACAAAATATAAAAAGACTCTTTTTTTGAGATACAGAGTATAATTACAACTTTTATCATGATATAACATATGTCCAGGTCATCCCTACATTTCTTTTGTTTATCTGACATGTGAAACCACTATGCTATAATATGTGTAACGGACTATACTGGTTTTCCGCGATGTTTATTTTCTGTTTATGTAAAACTTATAATTTGCTTGGTGTATAGGCATTTTATGGTCTATATGTACTGTGCTGATGCACGTCTTTACTACTGTTCACCAGTTTTCATTTTTTTTTTGTAAAAATGCCCAAGTTGTGCTGTTTTCTTTTTAGGTTATTACTTTATCATATTTTTGATGAAACGCTGCTGCTCGTATTTGTTCCCAGGCAGCCTCATGCTGTCTTTGACAGCTTTTTTTTCTTCTTCTGGGGACTGTTCAGAAGAAAACGGGAAATAAACAAATTTAATTCAATTAAAATTTAAAAAAAATTATAGCAGAAGAGCATGCCTTTAATCCAATACTAAAACATTATGAAAACAAAAGAAAAATTCACACCCTTCCTTTTTACTGCCCAGAAATGAGCGAAGAGTCGGAAGAGCAAAGAAGTAGTGCGCAGCGATTGAATGGCACCGAACGGATTTGCCACAGGCAGGTTGGCGTTCAGTTTAGCAAGTGACCTTCGCCAAAGGAAGCTACGCCACGATATCTCATTGAACGCCCGGACACGGTCAACAATCATACTTGAGCTGCGCAGGGATTTGCCTATCGTGTTATCTGCGAACAAAGCCTGCAAAACATGTTTACGTGAACTTCGTGCGACATCAAGGGCGTTTCTTCAAACACCCTTCGGTAAAACGATCGTTCAACCAAACGACCGTCATTCGACCAACATTGTTCGATAGAACACCGTACGTTAGAAATATAGGAGGTCTCCCAGTATGGCGACTATGGTGGTCGTCAAGCAGCGGCAGAAAACTACAATTGTCATATTTAGACGGGATGAGGAAACGCCACCTAGAATTATCAAAACCCGTGCACGATACCATTTTCGACGTCATCAAAATGAAATCGACAGTAGACAGAGATTAGACTCAAGTGATGCGTCAGGGATCAATCAGATGAACCTCATGTGCAGTCAGTCCGTCGAAGGGCACTCCGTGTAGGGCTTGAACTCAATTGCCGAGTAAGCACTCTTCGAGTTACGATGACGTTACAGAAGAGTAGAGGAAGGTGTTGGGGCAGGGCTTTGATTATTCCAGGGGCCCTAAACTCGTCAAACACAAAGTTGGAGCCGAAAGTTCGCGGAGTGCGCCGATTGGACGCCGGCGACAAAAGCGCGAAGTCATCGTCGTTTTAGTCCAATCGGAGCGCTCCGCAAATTTCGGCCCCAACTTTGTCTTTCCTGAGTTTAGAGGCCGAGGAGTGTTGGGGGGGGGGGGGGGGGGGGCACGGTTGGGATGAGGTCGCTCTGCAAGCCTATATTCATCGTAAAGGGCGACATTTTTAGCGCAAGAGCGTAAAGGAGCACGTGTAGCGGAAAAGTCAGCGTCACGTTGGTCGGTGTCGGCGTCGGTGGGAGGAGAAAATCCTGATTGGTCGATAGGGTCATGACGTCACAGCCACATGACCTCGCGCGGGAATTCCAAACAATCCACAAAGCTCACGTTGAACGTGACGTCACGCGTGGAATGAAAGTGATGAAAACATGACGTGCAATGCGAATTAAAGGTCGCCGCACGTCTCAAATGATTTCCCTTTATAAAATAATTGATTGGCAAGCCTTCGGTTGTGAGCCAGACACGCTTGCACGGCTTTCTCGTTACACTCTTAAAGGCGAAGGTTATACGTCCACCTTTAATTTTTTTTTTTCGCTAGGTATAATCCCATTTCCTCAGTCAATAATTTTTTTTCACTCTTTCTCTCTCCTGCAGAAAAACGTCTCGCCATAAAGCGGAAAGATGCTTATCGAACGCGACGAGCCCGACGTCTGAATACACAGATCTCCAATGTCCCACAACTCGACGAGACCTGGCTCCGGCGAGAGGAATGGTTGGAGCGTCGTGTACGTACCTCCTGAAGTCGCGTGACCATCCGACGGTGCTCTCGCTCGAGCTGAACGACGCGATTCTGGGCCGCCAGCACTTCTTCGGCTTTCGACTTGGCCTCAAGTTCGTGCTCCCGTTCCATGCGCTCCCGCTTGCGCAGCTCGACGCGAAGTTTCTCCTCCATGTCTTCCATCTTGAGCTGCCAGTCCTCCTTCTCGCGTCGCTGGGCGTTTGACACCTGGCGCAGTTTCTCAGACATAGACTTGGCCTCCTGTTCTTTCTGGTGCAGGTTAGGACGTGAAGACAAGTAAAGCAGTAAGCTCCAGACTTACCATAGCAAACTAGAAAACAGAATCCCTCTCGATGTGCTGCAAATTAATATGAGGCAATCTGAAGGCGAACGCGGAATGGATGTCAAGTTTTGTAAGCAAAGACCATTTTATTTGGGCTAGCTACTTGTTCAAACAAACCTTTCGCGTTTATAAAACACGTTGCAGGTGTCAATGTTTGTCGGTACACCTAAATTTAACATAAATTGTTGTTAAGGTTGGGTAATTATTTAATCTTTCTCGACTACCAAACCCGGTGCATTCTTTTGGGGTTACATATTTCCGTTTTCTTTAGTCCGACGGAATCATAAAGAAGGTGGGCATCTAAAAACATATCAGTAGGACCACAGTGGATTCCAAATAGTCGCATCACACGCCCTATAGAAACCCACTGCACGCGTGTACCTAATATCTAGCCTAAAACGTGTTAATTCGTTTCTCCAGGATTGCCATAGGCAAGGCAATAGCGCCAAGAAATTTTACCTTTTCAAACTTGTCCACCGTTTCGTTGAGTCTATTCTTCATTGTAGTGTGCTCATCCTGTAAGCTTTTGATTTCTGCCTGCAGAAATTCTCGAACGTCCTTCAGGTTCTTTTCTAATTTCTTTTCGTGTTCCTGTTTTAACTTATTCTCCTGGAACAAAACGCAAAGACAACGGCATGAGGCCCCAGCACTTCTTGGCGGACAACGTACGGGTGAGCGTTACCTTCTCCTGGTACTGTTTCTCTTTCTCAGCCTCCTTCCGGGTCATCACGGCGAGAGTTTCCTTCATTTCGTTCAATTTCCGCCTCAAGTCGTCTCGCTCTTTGGTGAGGGCAGTTCCGACCTCAGCTGGTGTCATCGGCGACGCGGCGTGAAGTTTGGACTTTTCTTCCTGCAACTGAGAGTCCCAGGGGAGTAGGCAAATGCTGGTGGAACGTAGGCCACTCCTTTCTGTACTTATACGAAGAATGGCTACAATCATAGGGAGCCGAACACCCCTCTTCTCGGCTACCTCATAATCAAGCATGGCGACAATAGCAATAAACCGAAAAAAAAAATGCTACGTGTTTGTGCCAGAGCTGGGTAGATGTGAACGGTCGCCACCATAAGTGAATCTGATGTTTCTGTTTTCTTTGCTTCATCACTATCCTCACACTAAACATTTAGTGCGTATGCTTTTTACACCAACGCAGGATTTCTGTGTGGTTGGCATCGCCAGGTTCAGTGGCTGGGCACTTGGGTAAGATACTGGGAGATCAGTACTGCACGCCCTAATTTGGAATGCGGATACTGGCGCTTTCCCGCAAAGCGACTTCCTTAATTTTATCTTTGGAGCTCTGGCATCTTGAAAGTAGACTACCTGCTCAAGCTCAGAAAAGGAAATGCTGACGCTCACAAAGGGGACTATTATTGTGCTAACTTTTAAAGATTCTATGCCCGAAAGGCCACAGATGTAACTTATAAGACAATTACCTCGTTCCGTAGCTGGTTGCACTCTTTCTTTAGTGCCGTGTAGCTGCTTTCTGTGGACTCCAACTTCCCCTTGAGCAACTTTGCCTGGGTCTCAGCACCCTGAATGGCTTTTTTACGTTGTTCCATCTGTAATTAAACACATACAAAAAAACGCATATTTTAAATGACAATCGCGTTTTCTGCTACGCAGATATGCCCTTACCTCTTCCTCCAGCTTTTTACCCTTGGACTCCAGCAGCTTCACGCTTGCTGCCAGACTTTCGTTAAGCTTGGACATTACACCCATCCTGTTCTGCAGCTCCTTGACCTTACCCTGTTCTTGGGCTAGTTTCTGCTCCAAGTCCTTTTGTTTGCTTACTGCATCGTCTTTTTCAACCTGAAGCGTTGCCACCTTGTCGATGAGACTCACGTCAGTGTCAGGCCCTTTCGCCATCATGCTTTCGAGTTGTTTTCGCAAGGCGTCCGCCCTGTCGCGCTCCTGCTGCACTTCGGCCTGGTGACTGTCCCTCTGTTTTTTGAGACATTCCAGCTCCGAGCTCAACTTAGATTCCCGCTGTTTCGCCTTCAGTTGTACTTCTTCAAGGGACTTTTTAGCGGCCTCCACTTCCTCGTTCATCCCTTCCTGGGTCACCTCTTGACTTCTCACTGTGACTTGCAACTCACCTGCGGTTTGTGACAAAACGTTTTAGCCATCTTCTTTTTAATACACAGTGGAGATCCAAATTAGATACACTCTAAACAAAGCCCGTGCGTCTACTTTCCCGCACAACCGTCAAAGAGCTAATCACCGCAACTTACGGAGTCAGCTCAGCGAATGGCGATGCCGAAACATATCTTTAGATCCAAAAACGCAGACTGAGTTGTGACATTAAGCAATGCAAGCGTGACGTTTTGCAGTGCTTAATGTCACGACTCAGACTGCATTTTTTGGTCTAAACATATGTTTCGGCATCGTCATTCGCTGAGCTGCCTCCTTAAGTTGCGGTGATTGGCTCTCCGAGTGTTGTGCGGGAAAGTGGACGCGCGGGCATTTTTTAGAGTGTACCTTAAATATATTCATTTGTATACGTCCTGTATAAAGTTATAACATTAGCATGCCAAAATTTATTAATTTCGGAAGTCGACTGACAGCCATGACATTGTAAGCTAGTTTGGGCACTAAAATTATTGTTGGGAGATAGGACCTTGCCGGTTTCTCCACACTCTAAAATATCTATAGACATTTTTTTATATGTTTTCAAAGGGCGTTGCCATCTAGAGAATTGCTGTGCCGGAGGCGTCAACTAGTGGCTTAAAATTTAAAATACCGGCTGGTTGTGGCGGCACAGCTCTCAGGGTAGGCAATGGTGTGAGCATGGGGGGAACTTGGCTTGACTTAGCTATAGTGGGCTACAATAGCTTGGTTGGAACATGGCCGGTTCAGTCGAGCTTGCTAATGAGAGGCTATCGCCTTGCCTCTTCGAAAGAACGAGAACGAAGACGGTGGAGTTTTCAGAAAGAAGTAATATATGAGCAGTTTAACGTAGTCTATGCAGGTAAGCTCTCGGCATTTGATAGCTGCATCTTGAGTGTTGTCACGTACGTTTTCATACCCTTCACATGCCACGGAGTAATAGCGTACCTTGCAGTGATAAAATAATCGGAGACCCGGCACTGGGTTGGAGTCGGTCCGCTTGCCTTAGACGAAGTAGTCGTGAGCATAAAAATGACAACGAGTCTGATAAAAAGCCCTCGCGAATCACGATCGCATAAATAAGAATACTTGGGAAACATGTGAAGCTCAATAACATTGCAGCCACACTCGCGCTACAGCTTCTTGTGCTCATCGCACACTCTTACGTGATTTTTCTATGCTTAGTAAAATTATTTGTCCACCTGACGACGATGCAGTGACAGCCAGACAGCCGTAGATTTTCAGAAATCGTAACACGATAAAAAGAAACACTCAGGACAAACTACGACATCTGTCTCTAAGCCTTTCCACCCATACCCTTGGTGGTTGCATGCCATGCGTAGTGGGCAATCCAAAAATGCACGGTGCATCACTCGCGCGTTGGTATAGGTAGTCATATTGTTTTTAGAGTAACGGAAATATTTCTTGAGTACTGTAGGCTCTGCTATAGGGAGAGTGTTGCTCACGATGACGTCATTCCCTGTCAAGGACAACATTCATTGCTTCGTTCTCTAAACCCTCAATGACGGTATACATAAAAAGGCGACCCTGCAATTATTATACATCTTCACTGAGACATGCCATTCGAACGCTGAACAGAATTCACTTACTTATCTCGTCCTCCAGGTCTCTGATGATGTCCTTTAGCTCTCCCCTGGTTGCCGTTTCGCGTACGGCACGTGGTGGCTTTCGCTTGTAGTTAGCGGCATCCTTGAGCTTCTTAAACTCACGACTGAGTCGACTGTTTTCAAGTTCCAGCTGAACAATCTTGGTCTGCATCGCGGACGTCTCTTCTTCTTTGGACCGCACTTTCTTCTTGAGACCCGCAATGAGGTCATTCTCGATGTCACTCGGCTTCTCCCTTTTTGGAGCGTACTCCTGAAGAACGACGGCCGAAGGTGTTGCTCCAGCGGCGACCTTCTCCGATTCCTCCTTGAGAGCGTTCAGTTTTCGCTCTGCGTCCGTCAGCTTTTCTTTCAACTCCATGTTGTCCAGCTGAAGCAGTTCCTGAGGTCCCGGAGGTGGCTTCCTACTGAGCCTCAACTGACACCGCTTGTTTTCGGCAGCCAGCTTGTCGTTTTCAGCTTCCAAATCCACCGTCTTCTGCCTAAGAATGCTGGCTTCTTGTTCGACCAGCTGCAACTGACGTTTCAGATCCACCTGCAGCTCACTGTCCAAGGACCGGCTACGCACGATCACCTTGGACGCCTTCCTTCGATGCACTTCAACCTCGGTCTGCAACCTCTCGTTTTCACGTTCCTTCTCGATGAGTTTCTGTCTGAGTTCGCGCGCTTCGTACTCCAGCAACTTGGCCTTCTGCTTATGGAAGACGTCCACGTCCGCGTCATTTTTGGGGGGATCCGGAAGTTCAATCTTCGTGAACGGCTGGCTAACCAACTTCTCCTGGAGGTACTTGACTTCTTTTTCCAGACTCTCTATTTGTTGTTCCCGCTCTTCCGCCTTGCGTCGCAGCACGCTCGTCTCCTGTTCTTGGAGCTCGAACTGCATTCGCAGCTCTTCCATGGACACGTCCTCATCGCTATCGCTATCGCCCGTGCTGTCACGCCTGCCGCTAAGTTTGCGCATTTGGAGCATCAGTGTTTCGTTTTCCTGCTCAACGTTATTAATCTTGCGCCGCATCGTCTTGTTTTCTTCCTCTGCGAATCTAAGTTGTTCCCTTAGGTCTGTCTCCCTCTCCATGGAGTCGTACAGGTCCTTGCACATGGTCTCGTAATCTTTGCCCATTACAGCTTCTTTGCTCTTAGAAGCCTGCGTCAGGAGCACAATGAGCATCATCAGTACAGGTTTCCGTATACGTGATCCCCATCACCACACATATTTCAGTAATCAACAGGCATAACATCGAAATCTTTAAAGTTTTGCTCTGTATTAGGATGCCACAGATGGCACTGGCATTTCAAAACTTTCACAATGGCGAATGGAATTATGTGTCTTTAAACGAACGGGCCATTTGTTCGAGAAACAACGCCCGTGTTTTCTGAGCTACCTTCAGACCAAGAGGACGCTTGGTCAGAAGGTGCTCGGAATCGGGGTGACGAGACGCCGTGCATCTTGTCTCGTCACTTGCTTGAACATTTTGAAGCAGTTGATCTTCAATTAGGAGATGACCTACCGCAGATTCAACAAATGGATACGACTAATTTGCTGCTTAAAAATAAATATGCAAGTTATTTAGCATTTCTGATTATCATTCCTTACTTTTTTATTCAGGCAGCATGGTCACTCAGAAGAATTTAACTTTTCTGCCGTGCGTACCTTATATATCTGATACCATTATCCCCCAGACTTTTCTACTGGTGCACACTATATCTCGAGCCATGCGAGCTCAATTCTTCAAAATCTTAACTGTTGAGGTTCGTCTTTAGTGCTCTGTGATCTTCATCTTCCCGTGTTTAGTGATATAATGAAAACAAAAATTTTAACACCAAAACACATGAAGTTGTCTACGTGCTTATTAATACATCGAATTTGAGTGCATCACGAGTATCGGCATCATTTAAACACTTTATATTTAAAGATTACAATTAACAGTGTTATGATATGAAAAAAAAATGTATAGCACTTATAATGTCCTACTACGCCATCTCCAACCGCAAATTCTGAGGAACAGATAATGAATTAGCAAAATCGCGATTATATTTTTTTCGAACTGCAGAAATCGCTTTGCTCCCACGTGTAGCGTGTTTTGAATTAGAAATGTGGGACAACCTTGCAGTGCGCAATGTTTCCGTCACCGTATTATCTAAAACCCAAAGACGTGTATACCAGTCGCATTATTATGAAATATTCACGAAGAACAGATGAAGTGCTGCTCCGCTAAGACTATTTACGCGATTTTATCATTCTCACGCTTGCGAAGAATGCGGGAAATTATGAGCTCCTTCCAAGTTTTTACCCTTCCTCATAAGAGCTCCTCGCCAAGCTCCCGACTTCAAAGAGCTATACACAAAATACGTGCACTCTTGGCAATGTTCCAAGGTTCTATGCACTTGTGATTACGGAAGGATTGGTGCACAGGTCACTGGCGTATTCGAGGCTGCGATAAACAGTACGTCGTAAGCTATGTCATTCCATTAAGCATCTAGGGAACGTAAAACAGAAACGTAAAATTTTTTAGTTTTTTTTTTTTTTTTTAGAATGACATTTACAGCTATAAAAGCTTAAGCCAGTAATACTCAGGGAGAAACTTACCAATAGGCAGAGGAGGCAGCTGCCTAGGGCGGCAGAATTCTGGGGCGGCCAATTTGTAGCCGCCCCCAAACTAATTGGCTCTTTTTTTAATCTAGCTCCGAATTTAGCTATTTTGGGAATTCGAGCTCCAAATCTGGCTACTTTTAAAAATTTCAACCCCGAATTTAGCTACTAACCCCCCCCCCCCCAACCTAGGCTCCCCATGTTTGTGTGTGTGGGGGGGGGGGGGGGGGGGGGGCGTGGGGGGGGGGGGGGGGGTTACCATTAAAGGCTGCCTAGGGCGGCAAAATGCTCAGTTCGTAATCTGGCAAATATTGAAATAGTCTGCGCACCGCCCCAGCGCATGGTGGAGTTCAAGATTTGGGTTAGTTGTTCTATTATTATTCGCTTCAACTGTACTTTGACAATGAACAAGACTGCAACTATAAAAAATCATCAAGTGTACGTTGTTTTTCCTTGTCCAAGTGTTTTTGTTGTTAAAACACAAGCAGCGCAGTTAAGTAGTAATAGTAATATTAATAATAATAATAATAATAATAATAATAAAAGAAAAGCGTTGTGGAGTGCTCGTACTTGTTCCTCACAGACCATGTTGTCAGCAGTACGTGAGAAAATGAAACACGGCATTCGACAAACACTGTGCCTTGAAAAATAATGGCAGAGGCATATACGAGTAAGACAAACAGTAATTACCTTTGGCACTTCGATAAGACCAATCGCACGTATAATGTCGGAAAAACGGGACACTTACTTGACTGACTGTCGTTCCTTTTGCACCGGTACTGAGCTGCTTCTTTAGGGCATTGTTGTCCATTTCTAACTTCGTTTTAGCGTCTTTGAGCACTTCCAGCTCGGTTGCTAATTTAACAGACAGTTCATTAGCTACGTGGAGTTCATCCTCAAGCACTTTCATTCTAGTCTTGTCCGCAGTTATCTGTGTGGTCTTCTGAAGCTCCGCCAGCTTTTCGTCTGACTGTCCCTTCTCAAGTTCCAGCTGCTCTACCCGGCGCTCAGCTTTCCGCAATTTGAACTGTAACACACGACAGTTCTTGGACGTCGATTCCAGTTCCTTTCTGAGATCATGGTACTCCGACTGTTGGTCCTCACGGTAGGTGTCCTGCAGCTCCTCAAGTTGCTCTTCTAAATCCTGAACTTCCTTCTTGATTTCCTCGTTTTCTTCCATCAGCTCCTCGCAGAGATTCTCGGCCTGCTGGAGCTTCACCCTCAGGTCTTCAGAGTCCTTCTTTAACTGCTCTTCGCTCTCCCGCTTCTCGAGCTCCTGCTGCAGTTCGTCGACCTCCAACTTTAGACACTTGTTGTCATCCTTGAGTTCCTCGTTGATTGTCTCGAGCTCATGCATCTTGGAGCGTAGCTTAAGGATCTCGGAAGCCGTCTTCTCCAGCGCCTTCTTATCTGAATCGCTAACCTCGGATCTTCTCTTCTGGTGCTCGAGCTTCTCTTTCTCAAGCCTCGCAATCTTCTGCTCTGCCACCTCCAGTTGACTCTTGAGCTTAGCCATTGTGTTTTCAAGGTCCTCGTAACTGTCGTAGTAACCCAGGGTCGTATCCGTCGTTTCCGTGGTCTCTGTCTGGGCTACACTTTCATCGTCCTCGTCTCGCTCCTCTTTCTGCTGATTCGAGCTTGTCTTCACCTTCAATATAAACTCGACGTCAGCTGACGGGGACGTCAAAGCTGCTGTCGACGTCGGAAGCACCGGATGGTTCTTCTCCACTTCTTGAGTCTCCAGAATCTTGATCCTCTGACTGCGGCGACGTTCCTTAGCATCACCCGCGGAGCACTGTTCAGATTCGCTACCACTCAGTCCGTCGGAATCACTTTTTCTCAGCGCAGGCGCCAGGACGGTCAAATTGGACGAAGCACCCACGTTGTCCTCACCGTTCCCAGCCGACAGCGGACGTCGTCTTCTAGGCCTAGCACTCGACGAGTCGTCCTCTTCCAAACTGGTGGTGTCCTCCACGGTGCGTCTCCTCCTGATTTTAACCTCGGCCTCTTCAGCGGTCTTTCTTTCCTCATCGACTTTCAGCTGGGATTTTGTTTGGGCAGCCGAGGCGGAACCAGCCGTCGCCGGTGCGGCATCAGCACGCGTATTTCGGGAAGAAGCAGCGGGGCTGCTACTGTCCGTGTTCTTTTTGATCGCCGTCGCCGCTGCTGCTGCAGCTGCTGCAGCCGTCGCCTGCTTGTCGGCTGCGTTTGTTTTCGAAGGGGTTGAATGTGGCGGCTCCTTGGCGTGCTCACCGACATCCCGAAAGCAACGCTTGCAGCGCGTGGCCTTTGCGAAGTGCGGCACGAACCCGGGGCAGACACTGGCGCCGCCGCTGCCGGAGCTCATGGTGCCTTCGCCGCCTCCTGGAGGCTACAGCATGACGACGCCGATCAACACACACACTGCCTTAGGCCCGAAGATTCTGCACTCGATGCTTCTGTCGGGACCAGCGGCCCGGTCTTCGACGTCGCGTCCATACCGAACCGGGGAAAACCCCCCGCGTCCGGGTTACGTATGCACGGCGCGGAAAAGCCGGCCCAGAGCGAGCCTGCGGAGGACGCCTTGGAAAGAGGAGGTCCAGAAATACCGAACCGTGAGGACCGCGAGGAGGCGGGGTATTTTTGGAGTCAGACATGCCAGCGGTGTGCGGCGCTGCGACAGCCCAGTGCTGCTGCCTCGGAAGCCCGGGTCCGTTGAATGGAGCTGGTCTTACGTGGGCGCCCCCTGGGTGCTAGAGGCAGACGCTTCCGCCTATTCTGCTTGTCTCGGAGGCCCAGTTGTCGCGAGCCACGAGGCGCGACGTCTGCGTCATGGTGGTGACGCGCGCTTGGAAGTCTTGTCGACGTCGCGACGTGTCTCTCTAGGTCTGAGGGACAGCTGACGTCGCTGTCGGTCCAAAAAAGAGCCACGCGTGATGCACCATACAAGCTGAGCGGCTGGTTGTTTCTCTATTGTTTTTTTTTTGTTTTTTTTTATACGGTGGGTTGGTTGCCACTGTTTTGTGAAGTTGGTACACCATGTATTACGTAGAATTGAATTAGCGTGTATTTTAATGCTGCGTCAAATAAACGTGAACGGTCGTCGCCGAATAAAATTAGCAACTGATTGGCATAGAATTTACGCATTATGAAAATAATTTCTGTGTGCGACCATCCATAGCTAGTGTACCTCATGTTAAATCAATATAAAAGATGAATTAGCCTCAACGTTCACTCGTGTAGACAATCTGAATACATTCGATCCATTCTAGTTATGTTAGGAGGATAGAATTGATTTTCGATGTTATTCAGTCATGTGTTAGTCACGGTTCGGTGAGCTATTACTTTTTGGTGCGTTTTATCTTGAATTGACATCCGTACCGTGCGAAGAAAACGCAGTTATGCTACATTCTGTTCAATTCGGAGACAAGTCCTTTGTTAATAACTGTTCTTAAAATAATCATCCTATGTATTACAGCCGAAACTTTAAAAAATCTGGGCCCTGTTCTTCTGTGTGGGTTTGATGATACAGATCGAAATATTATTAGACAAAGTCACATGAGATCATGACGTTCGCGTCCACATTCTAGCTACAGGTGAGGCCTATGCGTTCCTCTAAAAGGCAGATTCCGTAGTTTTTAACGATTCTGGACTTGGCGATCCTCTTATTCACCCAGTGAACAAATGGAGTTTGACTTCTGCAAGGGAAGCAGAAGTATCTTGATATTCACATCTCAGAAACCTATACAGTAGATACGTTCCCTAGATAATCGAAACGTAAGCAGATACACAGTTTAAGGAGCGTTCCCCGAGTCAGCTGTTTCCTTTGTAATGCCCATTTGTCCTTGGTAAAGGAACAAAGCAGCTAATTTGGTTTGTCCTTTGCTTCGCCATCCAACGTGAATAAATCTATACTGTAGCAAGAACAGGACACGATGTATTCGCTGATTCGCTGCGATAATTGCGGCGATCAAGTATCCACTGAAGGAATAAAAAACTGACTAAACAAAAACACTCCCTCTTTAATGAATTACGTAATTCCGCTAAGGATAGAATGGCTATAGGATAAATTGCGTAAGCGAGAGTCAATAAAATAGTTCGAGACGAGGCACATCTGGTGCTTCCCGGAACCTCGGCGCCAACGTTACTAGAATACTCAGTTGGGAAACTGCCATAGGAGCCTGCATTACGAAAGTGGCTTCGATCAGTACTCGAGAATTAAACTAAGCGCGATCGCAACGCCACCATCTCTCCCGCAGCGGGCACTCCGGGAACTGCGCGGCTACACCATAGTATCGCATTCTATAAAGTCCGCTGTTGCTGTTGAATTTTGGCTTTCATGGGCCATGTTGGCGCCGAAGCGTATACAGTGGAAGGGGTTTTAGGGTAATTAAAATTTATTTGGACACCAGTGCGAGTTTTCACTGCGTTACAAGGTCACGAGCGATGCATGCTGTGCACAAAAGAAAGGTTACACACGACGCAATGATCCCTTCGGACGTCGCAACCGGCGAGGCGGGACCACTGAGTGCCCGTATTACGACAAGTCCAAGGACAGGCAGGTTAGGTGCACTTGGCCGTTGAGCACCGTCACTTAACGGCGGCGACCAGCGCCGCAAGAACTCGCGCTCCCGAAGAAGGAACAGCTCACACCCCAAAAAAGTGATCATCTCGCGTCGCAGACGTGAGGCAACGCGCAAGCGCAGACCATGTCTCGCGTGCCACACCGTCTCCATGAAAGGTCACCCCCGAAGATTTCGAAAGTTGCGCCAAGGGGGAGCGGCAAGGGATCGCGCGGGGGATCGCCAATGCGTACAATCTTGGACTTGGTGGAGTTTAGCTCTTCGCCGGACAAAGCCGAGTAGGTCGCGAAAACCTGAAGCGCCCCCAGAACACTGTCACCATCACGGACGAAGAGCGTCACTTCGTCAGCGTTCGCGGTCGCCTTGACCGGACCGGTGCCCGGGAGCTGTAGGCCACGAACGGTCGAGGCTCCCCCAAGTCCCCGAAGGAAAGGTTCTACGCTGAGCACAAACAGGAGTGGGGAGAGAGGGCGCTACTGGAGACCGCACCGCGTGACCGGGAAACGTGCTTCCGGAATTCCCTCGACAAATAATTCGCCTTGCATGCCGTTGTAGATACATTCGAACAGAGACATGCCCTTCGGAGGTAATCCAAAAGCTGCCAGCAAACGAGGAGGTATCTGTGTTCCACGCGATCGGAGGCTTTGGCCCGATTAAGGGTACTAGCAGACCGCCTGCCTGTCGTGCTCGGGTGTACTCCACGAGGTCCCGCGTAAGGGCGACCAGGGAATCGATGGTGCGACCCGGAACCGAGCATGTCTGACGCGGACTAATCAATTCGTCAGCGTTTTGAGATACACAGCCATGACGCTGCGTACCTCAAAACGCCAAATGGACGACTGACCTCGAAAACGATCGGAGACGCGGCTACCATACCCCGTCTCCTAAGCGGACACGCCGCGATTGACCACCGAAGTTAGGACGCGCTCAGGTCGGATGCGCTTCCTGAAATCAGCGGTGAGACAGGGTTGTATAAAAAGAGTATTAATTGTGCCGCGAAACATCATGCTTCTGTTATTCTGTACTAATCTCCAATAAAACTTCCTACAAAAAGAGATTTTTTTTTTTTCCATTTGGGAAGCAGTAAGCATATGAAGCAACTTTCATTTTTCAACTCGTCACTAAGGGGTGGCGGTGTTATCGTATGTAGTTGGGAGTGACTGTTTTGACGTTCACTTTCAAAATAATATTGAACATTATTTTAACGTTCATGACGCCACTTCCGTATACGATTGAAAATATTGTCAAAAACATTTTGACGCTCCTCGTCAAAATATTGTTTTAATTATTATGACATCTTCGGAACTTCGGTATCCGGACTGATAAGCGATAAAAAATGGCAATGAAAAAAACATTTTGTTTGCAGGCAGCGTTGTAGTTCGACACGGATTTTCTGAAAACAAATATTATGCAGTCGACTGCTGTTTTTATGACCTTTTGAGTGATATGTAATGCAAAAAGACCTCGAAGTACATCAGCTATTAGGCCACACGTAACGTTTGCTTGGTTGTGCCAAATATTACAGAATGCGGCACCGCTGCTTTTCATGATTTACTCCACGTCATTTCACGTGATTTATACAGACAAAGCAGCTTAGTGCCGTGTCATACAATTTGCAGTTAATTAAAAAAATGTTTGTATCCCGTACAACCGCGCCAGACCCTTTGTTCGTTCGCACCGATCAAGAACGCCAAAAAAAGCAATGTTTGCATTCACAACATTTCATTCAACATTCCGATCGTTTTGTGGTTACCCTGCTTGTTATACACGAACCAAGCAGAAAGTCTAAACTAAACAATGAGCTCCCGAAACCTGCTTAAAAACATGGTGGGAGCCGGATGCTACGCTGGACTGCAACAATATGAAGACGCGCTCGCACGATATAAAAGCGCAAAAAGCATGCTAAATTTCTCAGTGCTACGTAGTGTAAGCAATTACATTATTTACGTGCAGGCAAGACAGAGGAATATAAAGTTCGCCTTTTTTGTAGATTCAAACTTTTAAGCGAGATGCCGAGATGTGCGCTCAGAACGCTCAGAACATTGCCGCACGGCGTGTCACGTCCGAAAGGACCAACTGTCGAGCCAGTCCCACACACTGCCAACTAAGACCGGAACTTCTTAGGCACGCAACACATGAATCTATCAAAGCGACAACACAACACCGACAACACAGTCAGAAATTAAACAGAACGAAACTTCAAAACAGCTACCACTGCGACGGCGAATGCATTGAAAAAGGACGTCGAAATGGTCGAAACAATAAAGCCACTATTTTCACATTTTGCAGAAGTGACGTCACAGACGTCGAAATAATCTTTGAAAAATTTTGACGCGGAGGACGTCGAAATAGGTAGTCACTGACTATTTGATCTCGGTAGACGCAAGCCGTCCAGGCTTAAAAGGCGTGTTTCCGAAATGAGTGTTTTAGTAAAGTTCCTCGGTGCCTTGGGAAAATCGCCAAGATTGTTTCCACGTGGAGAGGGTGCACTTACGGGCGAGAAGAAGAAGGTTTGATTGCCTTCATTCAAGTAACATGGTCTGGGATTGGTAATGAGACTAATCAAATCCCCATGCCGGCATTACAAAAACTATACACGGCGTCACCTATTTTGTGCAACATTGTCAGGGATTAGCGTATATCTTCCACAGTGTTACAGCCCTGAAAACTCATTCGCAAGCGCTCTCGCGCAAAGGAGATGCCAAAAGTTGGAGTACTGCAGAAGCTATACGCTAGCCTTGACAACACAGCACAAACTAGTTGACGCCGAGTATACACCATTCCCATCTTTACAAGTCCTCAGCCCAGCGAGCGATCTCCTCAGCCCAGCACGGGCATGATTGTTACTTCAGAAAGCACGCAATTGAATCACGCGCCATAAGCATGAACACTGACAATGGAACCGGCCAGGAGCCCTTTTTTGGAAAGATCTATTCTATAATCTATGTGAAGGTGT